TCCTGCTCCGGTCTTTCCCCTCCTGCAGCACGCCTCTCTGGGCTATTCTTTTCGTCCTGTCTTTTCTTTTCTATTATGCATTCGCTCTCCAAAATGTCCCTACGTGCCCCCGTTTCCTTGGTTTGGTTCTTCACCGTACAGTACAAGCCACTAATTCATTCGATTCTTATTTGCCCGCTCGTTGGTTCGCCCCGTAGTGAACCCTCCGACCAAGCTGCGGTGTCCCCCTCGTAACAGTCGCCTATCAAACCCTCGACCCTGTCCGTTTTAGTCTTTTAGCATTTAGAATTAACATTTACCATTAGCCTCCCGGGTGCCTCGCGCTGGACCCCCCTGTCCAACCACTTGTAAAAGAGTCCCCCAATTCTCAGATGTCTCCTCCCCTTCTGCTACCATCCCGCCGGTGACCAACCGGCGATCGGCCGCATTTTCGGTTTTCTGCACGTCGCTCTGCTGCTGCTGCTACTTCTCTTCGGCTTTTGAAAGGGGGGGTTGGGGTTCTCTTTTCCCCTCCGGTGACCAGCCAACCAGTGCTGGCCTTTCGTGTATGAATATGCGCCACCCTTTCCTCTGGTCTGATCTGCTTCGGATTGTCATTGCCCTCTTTTTTCCTCCGTTCGACTTTCTATACTACGTCTGGGCGCTAGTCTTTTATCTTTCGTCTGCTGCTCTCATTTGATCGTCCCCCTTGGGCCATAACGGCCGACCTGCCTGCATGATGACTTTGTTTTCCCTCGAGTCCGACAGCTACTCGTATTATGTTATGTGATTATTATGCTATCATTCCAGACTACCGTATTCCTGCTACAGTACCATAATGATCATAATAATAATCAATATCACTCCAATTCCCAGTTTTCATTTTCCCCTTCGTATTACCATTCTGATCTCGTCATCCTAATATCGTGAAGTGGAGATACCATCGACCCTCCTCTTTTTCCCATCTCGCTCTTCCCGTGATTTGCTCTTCCAACCTTGTTCCCACTACCTCCCCTGTCTCCGTCTCTTCCTCTCTCGCCCACACACACCCTCTTCGTCTCGACTACTACAACCAGTTTTCTCCTTTGCTTTTCCCTTCTTTCCCTTCTTTCCCCTCTTCTGCTTGCCTCTCGTCGTTTTCGCTCCTCTCTCCCTCTTCAATCCCCCCCCCCCAAGCCCTTTTGGAACAACGCCACCACATCACTCACTGGGCTTTCTCGTCGTCGTCCAAATCCGACCCGACCAACCATCCACTTCGTGGTGGATCCCACACCCAAGCTACAAACTGGACTAACTAAATTCCAACTAAAAATCGCAACTGGATCCATCCTCCCATCACTCCCCCAAAGCTTGGGAATTGCCGCACCGAGGGGATCCGTGGAACCGCGCCCCAGTCGATCCCAGAGATCGCTGCAACCCGTTGACTCGCTGACTCTCGACGGTCCGTGCTTGGAGGCGATCCTTGGAATTCGACCAGGCCGAGGAGGGGTTAACTCAAAACCACCCATCCGCCTCGTCTTTCTCCATACCCTGGTCGATCTCTTAGCTTATTTTATTCTTTTCCCTTCCCAACCCCCCCCTTGGTGATCGCCTTGCTATCATAATCCGGGGTACCTGGGATCTGTGCAAGAAGAAACACGCAAGGGAACAAGAACTACAACTCGAGCGGTCCTGCCTAGACCACATCATCGTCGCTCTTCCCTGTCCATCCTACCAGCCAAGACCACCACCACCAGGCGCGCGACAAGTCCTCGCCCGTGATTTCAAGCTAATCACCACGACCTGCGCGACACTCCCACCACTCACCACAACCCTCGACTAACTTCCAACCTGGATCTTCTCTCGACAGAGATTCTCTCACCTTTCAACTCCTACCACCACCCGCTCTCTCTTACTTTCGATTACTACTTTTCTACATCCCTTTCCTCCTTTCTCTTTTTCCTTCTCCTCCTTCCCGTTCCCTCTCACACGCACCCCGTCCCTTCCCCACCATGGTGAACGGGACCGCGGCGGTGCTGGAGCCCACATTCACGGGGTATGTGGCCACCACGCAGGACGCACTGATCTTGTTCGAGGCTTGTTTGACCGGTGTCTTGCACCATGTCCCACGCCGACCCCATGACCGTGAACGGAGCCACTTGGTGCGCAGTGGCAGCGTCTTCATTTACGAGGAGAACTCTTCAGGTATCAAGCGCTGGACCGACGGGGTCACTTGGTCACCCAGTCGCATCCTCGGCAACTTCTTGGTCTATCGCGAACTTGAGAAACCATTCCCTCCCGGGGAAAAGAAGCGCGCCATGAAGAAGGCCCAAAGACGACCGGTCCCCGCCACCAGACCCGGCGAGCCGTACCCGCGACACGATAGCAACGGCTCCGGTTACTCCCCCACATCACCACCAGGTCCGTTTGGCGACAACCGAGCATCACACCAGTCGGAAGTGGAGCGGGCCTTGGTAGGGTCGCTGGTAGACTCGTACGGCTTCAAGGACTCGGGCTTGGTCAAGAAGACTATGAGCGTTACGGTCATGGGCATCACGCACCATCTCGTGTCGTACTACAGTGTGGAGGACGTGATGCGTGGTGTACTTAACCCTCCGTCCATGGTCGAATCCTTGCGCTACATTCGGCCGCGCGCCGAGCTCACTCAAAAACAAAGCTTCCGTGCCCCGATCGATGACCTGGAGACCAGCGCTATGGAGAACCCTCACGACCCCTCACATGCCGCGCTCTATGGTTACCGGCCCCAGCAGATGATGGCCCCGCCCGGCGCCTATGGTATGCCCAACCCATCTGCCGATTTCTACATGCACGCTGGCCCTTACGCTACTACGCATGCCCCGCAACAACCAGGCCCGCTCGCAAGCTATTCGATAGCCGGTTCCATGCCTGGCCAGCCCGCGCCAAACCCCTATCTTCCCTCGCCCGCGGCAGCGGCTGCAAACACTGGCTCGATGGGTCCCAAGCCCGAGGACTATCACGCCTTCCGTGCGGGGCCCTACGGTGGCAGCATGGACAGCGTCAGCCACAGCGCGCTGTCTTCCAGTATCCCAGGCATGAACACGGCGCTATCATCATCCTTCAGCGACCGCAACCGTTCAGCCTCCGAACACAGCCCATCCGCCTACCGCAATTCGTCAATCTCCTCACGCAGCGTCGCCACCGATGCGACATCACCCATGGATCCCTCCACGCCTGGGACCTATTCGCGCAGCAGCTTCAGTCTGTCCAGCCAGCTGGATGCTAGTAACCCCAACACGCCCATTGAGACACGCGGTATCGGCCCCTTGGATCCGAACGTGCCGCGACGCGACTCGAACCCAGTGCATCCGTCATACTATGCCCCGGATCGCAGCCAGTATTACGTGAATGCGGCCACCCCGGTTAATCATCCCCATTATGCGGCGCAGCAGCCGCTATCGACGTGGACGACAACCGCACCTGCACAACCCCAAATCTAATGTGGGACTGGCGAGTCCAGTATGGGATTGCAATTAAATCTTCTCCCGCGCGTGATAGCTATTTTGTCCACTTGAAACGAAAACCGCACCGGTAGTCCCGGTGTGGGGCCTGTGCTTGGGTTTGTGTTTGGTTTGTGCTATGTGCGGGGGCGCTGTGCCGTGTCTTTTGAGTCTCGTCTGTTTTATCTGACGTGATGAAGTCCTTATTCGATCGCCTTGATCGGCACTCCTATTGTAAGGTTTGACTAATTTGGGAAAGGACATTGGTTTACACCCTCCTTCTGTTTTCTGCTTTGGAGCGCGAGGAGTCGGACGGCTTTTTGTGTGCTTGTAACCTCGCTCTTGTCCATTTTTTTCTTTTTTCTTTTTTCATCAAGTCTCGGAGGTCTTTTTGCTTTTGCTTGGCGATAGACTCTGTTCTCGCTCTTGAGGAGCATGCAGGATTCCTTGCTACGCTGTGCGTGACATGAAATGTCTGTCAATACCGTACATGACAGGAGCATCGGTGGCGCGAAGGTTATATCTTTGGCTTTTTATCCATGCTCATTAAGTGCAGCACCAGCTATTTTCATACTCCTGGTTCCTAAATCCACGGGTTCATTCCGAGATTGTCGGGTTAGGGTTCGTCTCTACAAGCACTGGGATTGGCTTTCCGCACCATCCTTCATCCTTCTTCCACACGATGTACTCATGATGTCTGTCCATAGGGGATTTCCTGCCCTTCCTCTTTTCTCTTCTCTTTAGCTTTGTTCTCTGGTTCGCTCTGGGTTGGCTCTGTCATTGGTGGATTGGTCTGCTCCATGTGTTGGCTGTCTGCTTTTCTCCTCACGAGGAATTCTGTCTCGCCTTGTCTCTGCTTCTCGTTCTGGTCTTTTGCTCTCTATTTTGAACACTCCCCCTTGTCCATTTTACCTCTCAACCTATCACCTGTCACTTTTATTTCGGGGAAATATTCCCATCCAGGGCGGCGTTTTTGTGATTTCTGACGACGTGATGCAAACAGATTTCCCTTTTCTGTCCTTCCTTTCCTTTTTTTGTCCACTTACAATCCGCGCCCTTTCTTACTTTCTTATCCATGCCACGCTACTTTATTACCTTATTCCCCCCAACCAAAAAAGGTTATTCATATGCTATGATTTTGATCTCAATTGTGATTCCGGTTTCCTTTGTTGATAATCTATTAAGATCTTCGTGATCGAGCAAATATCGGCTGTCGAGATATGTTGTTCGCTAGGTTTTACAGGGTGGACAGCGATGCTAGTGTTCTACGTTTGTTGAGGCTGGGGTAGAGTCCCGATCTAGGGTTCTATCTACACATTGTTGCTAGGCTGTTGGCTATCTGATGTCTCTCAATGTCCACCTGACGGATGGGTTGGTTCATTCTAGTCTTAACTCTTCCTAGGAATGGAATGATTTGTTGCAGATTTCAGAAGTTGTAGTTTGGCAAGTAAAATTCTGTAGTCATGGCCGTTATAGAACGCTGGGATTTTGGCCACATTTGTGGATTTGCATGGATATGCAAATATTTGTATGGCTTCAAACAATATTTCAGGCCTGGGGTGAGTGAGTTTGATACCAACTACCTAATACTACCCAAGAGACCTTGTTTACTGGAGTGATGAGAATGACCCGTAGCATCTTCCCCACAAGATCAAGTAACAAAGCTACCTCTCAAATAGATAGTCAGATCTATGAATTCAGAATAGCCGCACATCGAGACTCAGTACAATAAATGTTATATTACAAAAGTAGATCCAAAGTCAGCCATCGAGAGGATCGTCGACGTTCTCGGGTCTCAAGAGTGTCACAATTGGGTTTATCCAGACCCGCTGGAGAAAAGGTTTCACTGTAAGTAGATCTTGCAGTCTGCAGTCACCAACTCACGTCGGCAGGGGCTTCCACTCAAATATATTCCTCCAATAATCCGAGACACGGTCACAGATCCCGGTATACCCTTGCCAAGTAACAAACTTCTCCTCCAACTCACAAGCCGTCCACTTTACCTCCTTCCAAAGCGCCTTTTCAACATCCTCGTTCTCACTGAATTTACCGACCACCTCCTCCGGGATCGTCCACGCCCGCGTGTACTCTCCTTCGTCCGTAAACGCCGGATTAACCTCATGCTGTTCAAAGACCGTCGCCGGATTGAATTTGGGGAAATTGGCATGGATGAAGAATACATCCGGCGGCGGTGCATCATCACCACGCACACGCGCTTTCCCCGCCTGAACGAGCGCATAGTCATGTATAGGATTGAACTGTGCCATCGCAGAGCCTGCGAAACCGCCAACCTTATCTTTGCGGTGTCCTAGTGCGACGATCGGCTCGCTGACCTGGTAAAAGGCTTCCTGCATGGCCGTCGCCGCCGCGAGGAAGGTCTCCTTATCGCCCTCGCCGGCCGCACCCTGCGACAGAAGCGGGTAATAGTGCGACGGGCCCCAGTAATTATAGTACGTGGCAAGCAAAAGTGTGCGCACATGCATCTTCTTCGATACTAAAAGCTCGCCAGACTCGGTAGACTGGCGCAATGCCAACGGCGGCGCTGTCGTGCCGACAATCTCGTAGAAGAGCGGGGAGACGGTCGACCCCCAGAAATCGGGCCAGGTGACCATGCCCGTGGAGCGAAAGGGATCTGCGCGGAAGAGGGTCTCGGGTTTCTCGAGGGGAAAGGCGTCCGCGTCTAGGAAGAGGATTTCCTCAAAGGAGGAGAATAGCATTGCAAAGGGCTTGAATTGGTACTTTTCTATCGTGGCGGGTGCGGCGGCGAGAATGCGTGAGAGGACGATGCATCGTGCGTCTAGTGAAGGGAGGACCACGTCGCAGATGTATTCTTCGTATTCTGCTTCGTCGGCGAGGAATATTTCCATCGGTAGGGTTGAGCCCGTTCGTCGCAGCATGCGAAGTGAAATCACGAGGACGGGGAGGTATGTGCCGCCCGCCGTCGAGACAATGCCTTTGGTGTTGGGGACGTAGGCGAGTGTTGGCGCGGAAGTTTCGCCGGTGATGGCAGCCACGAAGCCCGTATGCGCAGTCTTGATTGCGGCGATATCTTCGGCGTCCACGCTGAGATAGTTGGGGCGCTGGCGGGCGTCGTTCGGGTCGAATCGCTCCGTCGGGGCTTTTTCATACTCGACAATTGGCGTCGTTCCCGGCGCATATTTCTCGAGATAGCGGTGGAACGTCCACCAGAACTTCTGGTGTGCGTCTGTCAGGTCGGGCAGAGCATCCGGCGATGACGCGGGGCCCCATTGCGAGAGGGAAGGGGGAGTATCGGAGCGCCAGCGAGAGACGGACCAGATCACCAGCGATGCCAGACACAGCGCGGAGAGCAGAGTGCGCACGCGTAGACAGGACCGGGGGAAGACCATCGCGACGAGTCCCGGAGAGACTGCGCGATCGCGATCGCGATGGATTGGGACCCTGCCCTGTCTGGCGCTGGGGTAAGGAGCACTGAAGCTAACCTACTGCACCCCACCAGCTCCAGAGCCAGCCTGGTGGATCTGCCGCGCTAGTTTCGAGATGACAGCTGCGATCTGTGCTCGGAGGCGCTGGCTGCAGACTGCGAGGTGTCAAAGAGATGGCCCGCTCATGGAGAAGAGAAAATCTTTGCTGTTCCGAGGCGAGATTGCAGAGAAGAAGAGAAAGAACCGCGAAAGGGACAGTTCGTTTGGAGGCAGAGTCGGATGAAAGTTGAAACGCCGGACGCACGTTCGAGTGGCCCCTTTCTTGAGGACTGCACGGGACCCACTGGAATGCAACACTCGACGTGGCTGATGTCCTGCATTTTGCGGAGGATGAGAAGTGTGGTTTGATTGGTGGTATATTCTATTAAAGACTAGATATTTTAAGACGTAGAATAAGAATTATTGGTCGTGGGTTTCCCTGGTCTGCATCTGATAAAAATAAGTACCTTCAAAGGAAGATAATTACACGGGCAAGCCACAGTGGAGCCTCATCTGCCCTTGACGATGAGAGAGAATACATTGTCTCTGCGCCAGCCTGGACCAATTTTCTATGAAGAAAGTCCCAATAGCAGCTGTTCCAAGATCTTCAGGTAACCACGGAACCGAGATCTGGACTGAACGAGTAGGAACTACTTCAGTTCAAGCAGAAGGTTTACTTCATTCGTCCATACTTCCGTTACTACAATGGGTTACCATGACCCCGCGACACATATTTAATTGCTTTCTTCACGAGACCGTGGTTAAGCGATGGACTCATTGAATAACTCCATATAGGGGAGGACTGAAAGGAAAGAAGAATGCATTCTATTCCTGATGGCACATAGTATGGCTTCTTTGTCCATGTGTACTATATAACTCGAATCCTCTTCCACGATACCAGATTCCATTTCATCAACACGCCAGCTCCTGATCAATCTACTGCAAATAGATACACTATTCATCTCCTCCACAGTCTTCAAATTACCTCCATCTCTTCATCAACCAACCATGCCTGCAAACGCCTGGACTCGCCCTAAGCGCGGCAGCGAAGCCGCCAAAAATCACAGCTTCGTGGACACCTATTTCCCCTCAAACGACTCCAAGGGCTCCGGCAGCTCAAGCGGCTCCAGCGGTGGTTCCAAATGTCGCTGTAAAGACAAGTGTGTTTGCAAGAGCATAAGCATGAGCCTGGTCAAGAGCAAGAGCCAACAGGGGTCAGGCTCATTCGGCAGCAGTACCAAGTCGTCCAAGTCGAGCTAGAAGATGGTTGATCTCGGGCATTCTGGTAAGTCTGTACCATCCTCATGGGTCTGATCTCGGTCATCGCGGCTCTAGCCATGGTGAAATACGGGCTTTAGCAGCATATCTAGCACCGAGTACTGCATCCAAAGGTATCGAGTCAATACTCGTTTTTCTATCTGTTTTCGGGATCTGCGGGAAGTCATCCAGGATGGTGACATTAGGGGATGAGTTTTACTTTGATCGTTTTGCATACAACGACCTCGAAAGGTCCAGCGAGTATGTGTGCACTTTTTTTTCCTTCCTTTTTTGCCTTTTTCTGCGTCATTTCAAGTTCGAGTTCGAGTTGGAAGATGGTGGTGTTCGTTCCGCGGTGTGATTATATAGAAAGTCAGGATTCTTTCCATGCAGTGCTTTTGCCCGTACCTAAATATTCCTTCAAACTTAAGAACGTAGCCAATGGCTGTAGTACGGAGGTGATGTCTCCCTTGTGAACATACAGAGTGTGAAAGTGTAGGTCATTATAGACCAGCTTCCAGTCAGAATGGTGGTAAGGGCGGTCCCTTGGTTTCGATATCTGATCTCTTGATCCATATATAACATCCTCGAGTAGTGTACGGTACGCGCGTCAAACTATGTCTCCACTTAGTCAGAATTCTAGCGTTAAGCTGTACGGCTAATGATTCGTTGTGTTTGGTTGTTTTCTGCGCCCCTATTTAGATCTCGCTTAGTTTTCCATTGGAAATTTCGGTTCTAAGCTTAGCCCGGTGTCTCTCAAATTTGGAATTCTTCACAACTTCCTAGAAGTTCCTTACACTAACGCCTCCCCCTGTCTCTCATTGAGGGTATCTGATTCCGCTGGTTCCTCACCCCTCCTCTGTGCAACAATTTTCCTGAGGCTTCTAGTCCTATTTCAACTTTCAGGTGCTCTAGTCGGCTTTGTTTTTCCATCCAATCTAGCTACTGCTGCTCTAGAGGCTTAGCTGTGACAGCACTGGAAACAGATCGGATTTCAAACAAACGACAGCTTCAATTTACTATAATCTAATATTCCGAAATGTCATCAGATATAGCCAATGTCGTGGCTTTTCACGATGATGAAAGTCAGCAAGCAGCAACACTAAATGTGCCGCTGGTACTGGCCCTCACTGGGGCTTTGATTGGGCTTATCTTAGTATGTAATCTTGTCAATGACATTACTGGAATAAGGCTAATCATCCATAGGCCATATATGCCCACGGGTATACTATCGCAACACTGATGGCAATACAAAGACCCAATCACGGCGTGCTATCACTAAGACAGCATCTTCGAGGTCTTCCAATCTACATAATCCATCGACTGGTTAAGATTTTCATTATGTCTAGAATTCCTACAAAGGGATCTAGCCTACTGAAGTGTGCGCTTTTCAATATAACGGTTGACTCACTGCTTTCGAATTTAAAAATCGCCAACATACATGCTATTCTAGCCCAACGCTCGAATCTTCCATTTTATCGTCATATTCCTGCATGGACAACGTGGTCTAAGATCTTCCCAGCATTTTTACTCTACACCGTCGCCTCAAGTACCTGCTTTTACCTCCCTGTCTACTTTATCACTTTAGCAGGCGTTCTAGAGGTCTCGGAAACCACACTAACGATCTACATACTGGCTACTATTGTGATTCTCTACTTTGGGGCGGTCATTCCGACATATGCTACCTTTATTCGAGTCGCTGCATCTACACAAGAGAATAGGTCTATAAAGAGCGCTTGGCAAGGTTTCCCTTGGCTAGCTCGTTTACAGTTCTTCAAATTACTTGCAGAAGTTCTTGTGTTGGAAACGGGAGTCTGTATAGTTCTCTTTGTACTTGTGCTTGCCCACGTTCATCCTGAGCTGTACGATGATGTGTGTCAATTCCTTGTCAAATATTTCGGTTAATTCGTTACAAATCACTTGGTGATATTGATGCCTGCGGTGACAGGCATCCATCATGTATATAGATCATCTCTCGTCCTCCCGCACACTCTCATTCTTGCTTCCTTATGTTGAGTGATTTTGACAAAATCCTTGAAGTTTGTCTCTTAGTAACCGAGCCGTCAAGAAGACCCTCTATTTCTGTTCCTAGGGTCTTAGCGGCAACATTTCGGAAGATCTTGTATCATGGTGGGAATAAAAGGGCAATCAAAAGCAGTAGCCAGATGCTCCCATCTGGAGTGTATATCTATGCGTGCCTACCGCTTTGTGTGGGTGCTTTGGGTGGCCGGTAGGCACAGATAGATTCTCCTGTATCTCGTTAGAAAAGACAATAAATCAACCTTTCCTCTGAATTACAACACTAAACTGCGAACTACTTGAGCTTCGGATAGTGGGGAGCTTGTGGTTCCCCGGAAGGCTGATTGCACTTCAATTTGGCGGCTTGAAACTGCGACTCCACGAGCTTTTGAGTGTTCAGATCTTCTGACTGGAGGCGTACAAGGTCGGGGGAGGTAGGGCGCCGTTTACAACGAAACATTTGGTAGTGACGAGTGGTGCACTTGAGATTGGACTTTGAGCCATGTATTGGTAATTATCTACTAAACGTATCGCATAAAGCAAGGTTGATGGGGTCGATATTCGAAATCTGGTCTGCGGAGCAGTGTGTTAGCCGTAGCTCTTTTAACCGACTGGGTGAAACAATCCGAATCCACGATAAGGATTCCACTTTGAGCAACTCAGAGACCAATTTGAAACAATGTAGATTGACTCAATTTCAACACATTCTTTGCAGAAAGGGAAGTGGTCAATCATCACGGAAGCTCTGGTGGATTGTCATAGCTGGAGTGTATGAGGATACCTTGGTGTATAACCAGGGTAAAGTATACACAGGGTGGCGTACCTGAACCAGTCGGAGCGTTGCCGCTAGTGGGGAATGCGTTTGGTGGCGGCGGGGAGGTGGGAATGATGATGCCGGAAATATTATCCTAGGAGCTGCTATTGCATAGTCTTGTCTTGACGGATAGATCTCTGGACTGGAAAGGAATTAGTGCTGGGTAAAGGCAAAGTATTCTTGTTTCGTTGGCTCGATCACTATAAGTGAGTAAGGAACATAGTTGGTAAAGTAAGGGTCACTTTTTATGTAACCCATCGTAAAGTAAAGAGATCAGAATGCTGGGCTTTTCTCAGGTTTTCATCGCGTTTAGAGAAACAGAATATTTCTACTAATCTCCCCTGATTGACCTTAAATACTCTTCTCTTGGCAGGGACTAGGGCATTGGCCCTATTCTTTGTTTACAAAGATTTCAGAAATTTATATGGAGCATGTCGTCATTGATGGAGCCGCCCAACACACAGTCCTCTTTCGGTGAAACGATGTAGCATAGGCTGTTATACCGTGCGAAAAGCTCTCCTATTGTAATAAGAACGAAGAGACATTTATTCTTACTGGAATATTAGAGAGTAGCTTCGGAGTATTTCCTATCGTTATCTCTAGCACGGCGTGGTTGATTGCTTGGAGTACTGCTTCGGGTGGATCAGGTACCCTCATTCATTAGACTTTCCCAGCTCGGTGATCTTCATTATCATCTAGCTATCGGATGTTAAAATTTCTGCTTTCTCCGTTCGATCCAGTCGGATTGTGCCCGGTGATTGTGGGATAAACCAATACCTGGTTTCTTTGCTCAACTTTGAACTAGCAGAGCCTAGCAAATGGAGTCCAAAGTCTCCTGAGTTTTGACCGGCCAAGAATTTGCGAATGGGTCTACTGGATGATTGGACGAGGTCAAAGTAGTGTCAATTAGCTCATGTCTAATCTCCGGCCTGTTTGCTTGATTCCACCAAAAACAATGCGGCGAATGCAACCTTGGGGCGACCTTGGATGCCCCCGATCCTTTCTCACTTCTGTCGTCTCTTCGCAACGGAGTACGGTCTGTACAGTACTGCATACAGCTGTTTAGCCGAAATCATCGTTCGCTCTTTGTCCGAGCTAATGGTCCCTTATAAATGTGCCTCTTTATCCGAGCCCTCGCTTATAGGGCTGGTGACTTGTTTACTTACTTTCTGGCACATCTTTCTGCTCCTCTCTTTATTATCCACGGCCCTCACCTTTCATAATATTTCATTCATTGACCTAACCACTCCTGTTTCCAAATATGATTGCGAGCATGCTGGTGGTCATTATTAGCTTGTGTGTACTCCTCTCTGCACATACATGTAGAGCTACGTCAATGAATATTCCCAAAAACCAAACAGCCAAATAGTATCGTCCTTCTTTCGGTCTTTGCCTCCTTTGTCCCTCACATACATCACGCTTGGCTGGACAAGGGTTCTTGAAGCATTTCATTGCGCTACCTACTTTTCAATGTCATTTGTTCCACGGAGCTACTACTCTTTGTTTTCTTTCACACGATCAATCTCCCTGTCGAGACCGGGTACTGGACTCACCATCCGCGTAATGCACTTAACTGGATCAATTTCGCCCAGGTGGTAGGCGTGTGGACAATGTGGAATATACTGTGAGCTCAACTCATCATCAAAAAGCGACCGGAGACGGACTAAAAGATCTAGACTGGGGCTCAACCTCTACCACAAACCCACTAGTCGCCTTCGCAAGGCCTTGACACTTATCATTTATGTCGGCTTTCTCATGGTATCCATAGCCCCTGTTCTTGCAGACGCCGTGTCGGACCTCTCCTGTCCTCCGCACCATCCGAACTGCCCGGAGGAGGAGCGAGACCCTATCGCTCTCTTCCAGGGCCTTCATGCCGTCATTCTTCTGCCATTTTTCACGACAATTCCACTGGTCGTAGGAATCATCGAGCAAGCCCGCATGCCCCTACAAACTCAATGTCTGACTGGACTTAAGCTGCAAACTGCGGCGTTCATGCTCTCCGCCGTTTCCTGGGTCCCTAGAGTCTCTGTCCCATGGGATCTCTACCTCGATGGTGGACACCCGATCATTTTAATTATCAATGCATGGTACCATATGGTTGGGTTTGTCGCTGTCAACGATGTAGTCTTTGCTCTGGGGCAGGGAATCTTGTTGTGGCTGTCTTTGCGACAGATCAGATGTGCAGGCGAAGGAGAAAGACAGCCGCTTTTGGGGTGATTGACCTTGATTCTAGCTCAACAGACCTTTCAATGCTATGTTTCTTTCACTTTTCAATTCCTAGGGTATAGATCGTAAATCTTAGTTCATAGCGTATTTTGCCATTTTTCTTAGTAAATGTGATCCGCTATCTTACATGTGCCAGTCAACCCTTGAAATTCAAGATTACTAAGAAAGGGACTGGGGTAACTAACGTAATTCCCGGCCAATCTGGCCACCCGGCCGTCCTGGCCACCCACCTCATTAGAAATTTTCAAAATCGATCAATTCAACCAACACCCATTGATTCAACTAAATATAGCGATTTTTATATGTATTAATTTTATGGCCAATCTCTCTACACCCACTACACCTAGGCGGGGCCCTGGTAGGTGGTTGAATTACCTGATTAGGTAATTCGCCCTGCTCATGCGATCCTACCCTATCACCTTCCACTGGCTGTTTTAGCTGCTCAACTAGCTGTATGGCTTCTTTAATAGATAGGCCCTCTTCGTAGGGTATCTGCCTAGTTGACCGCTGGCGTTTCTGGCGCTTCTTCTTATTAGCTGCGCGTAGATTGGCGTTCTCCTAGCTAAGTAGGGCAGCGGTATGTAAAGCTAGATAGCCACCCTTAATTATCTGATCCACCACGGTTTTAGTTGGGCTTAGAGGGCTTTGTGACCGCTGATCTAATAGACCCTTTAATAAAGAAGCTTGCTTAAATAGCTGGGTGACGGTCCTAGGTGTTTTTGGTGTGAATTGGCTAGATCTGCTGCTTAGCCGGCTATTTAGTGGCGTTAGCGTTCGTAGAGAGATATTTAGCTTTGAAAGGACCCTTTCTGCATCTACTGGCACTAAACTAGTAGCTACGAAGCTATTTTAAATAGTTAATAGCTTTTGGAAGGCCTCTAGCCGCGCGCGTTAGTAGTCATTAAGGAAATCGAACTTATCGATATGGTTATATCCTCGACGGGCAAGATCGCTCACAAAGCGACCGTATGCCCTTTTAACCATAGCAAAACAGCTAATGTCTAGTGGCTGTAATAGATGCGACGCATACGTAGGCATATAAAGAGGTATAATGTCGTTTTCTGCGTAGATTCGGTCGAATTAAGGTATAAGATAGCTACTATAACTATTAAGGATCAATAGCCGAAATCGGCCGCGTACGCGCGAATTTATTAATGGAATAAAGAGCTTTTGTAGCTAACGTAGGCTAATCTCATCGCTAGTCTAGCTATTCGTAGAGACCTCGATTCGCTAATCTTTTGGTAGGTTATCAAACCAACTAGCGATAGTAACCTTAGCTTTAAAAATCACGCATAGCGGAAGCGAATAGCTATCTGCGTATATTGATTCGATCGCAGTAACCTATTCGCGATTTCCTAGTTAAAGAAGGCGACGGCCGTTACTATACATTTCTGCCCGCGTAATAACCTTCTGTGTAGATATAAGGCCTATTATAAATCCTATCTCATCGAAGTTATAGATATCCTCTAGTTAGATACCCTTCTCATCGATTATCTGCTATACAGTCGTAAATCACTACCGAAGCGATTTTGGATCTTCGTTTAGGGCTCTTTAGTAATCGTATCTTCGCGAGAAGCGTATACGAAGCTTAGGGCGGCGGTTAACGAAGGATAATAGCCAATTCTTACTAATAGTAGTTAGTGGCTAGTTGCTACGCGCAGCTAGTAGAATATTGGCTATATCTCCTACTATAGCTATCCTAGGGGCTGCCCTACGTATATCCATAGAGATTATCCACTTAGTAAGCGCATCCTCTTCGGTTTGGGTCAATTTATGGCCAGATAGGCGGCTATCTTCGCGAGATATCTAGCTATGTACGCGTGTCTGCAGTGTAGATCTTGGTTTTTTTTTTATTTTTTTTTTTTTTTGTATAGATTTGATTCGGCCTTCTTTTAAATCGGAAAGAGCCAATAAGATCTTGCCCTCTCGATTGGCCAAGTTATGGCTAGGTTCAGTGCGAATTGGTGGCATGGTGGTAAGTTGAAGTTGGTAGGTTGATAGAGAGACGCGATTTTGGATGGGGTGGCCAGGACGGCCGGGTGGCCAGATTGGCCGGGAATTACGTTACTAGTTTGTCGGGTCTCCCCCCTTCCCCCATTTCTTTCTCTCCCTAACTCTTCTCACTTTCTTCTTTTTTATTCATTTTTGTTTCTTTTGTATTTTATTTTTTTTGTCTTGCCGTAGTTTAACCGGACATGGATCCTGTACTTGAATCAAATATCAGATTCTCTGAACATGATCGACGGTGAGATTCTCCCGGTCTGCTCATTATTCCAAAACTAACCAACTCTCTTAGTCTAAATACGCCCAGACTATCTATAGAGATCGAGCCTACCAGTCCAGTGATATCTCGAGAGAATCCGAGAGGGTTCATCGTCACTATCCGTCGGGCAGAAGATGACTGTGACAAGCCTTGTATCTTCCGCTGGAGCTTCCTGCACGATGGATGGGGTCCGTCTGGCTTCATGCTCTTTCAGCGAACGCCAGAAGGTCTGAAAAGGGTGGAGGGAACGCCCAAGCCACCACCTCCCCAGACATTTAAGCTCGTAGGATATGAAGGCGAGACAGAGGAACTTCTTCCGGGCCAAACTCTCCGGAGAAATATAGGCCACCCGGAACCCTTCTGGGACCACGTGGTCGCTGGTGAGACATACGAGCTCTTTTGGCCGGGGGCGGAATATGCCTTGTGGGCTTGGGGTACCTTGCGCGAGAATTGGGGTCAAGAAATTGGAGCTGTCTCGGGGCTACCACCTGTTATTATCCCGGGGGGCCCCTACTGTTCTTTTACCTGCGTAGAGGTGGAAGAACGGTCGGACTCTGACTCTAAGCCCGACGACCCTCGGGTAGAGAAATCAGACCGAATGTAAGGAATCCTCTTATAATATCATCGTCTTGATCGTGGCTGATATACTATTTATAGCCCTAGCACCCCTTATATCAGTGTGTTTCTAGAAGGCCCATCGACGATTTCCCGAAAGGAAAAGATTCGTATCATAGTGAAGATCATCTATAAGGGTCTGACGAACGGGGATCACGAGGCTAGCTATGCTGATATAAAGCCGATCATTATACATGACTACCCTTTTGCTAGTGATAACTTTCGACTGCAACGCCGCTGCGACGAACAGTGGAAGACTTATTTTGATGACGAACGGAATCCGGGCTGGATGATTGTCGATGAACCGGACGTCGAGGTTAACGTCGCGGATTCGGCGTTCTTCCGCAGCCTTAAACCGGGGGAATCTCTCGTCAAAGTCCGTTCTCTTGGCTACCACGACCTGTATCCCGATACAGTGGCCGGCGACACATATCGATACCAGTACTGGGGCGGCTGCGTTGACTGGTGGATCTGGGGCGATCGCGAAGAGCGTGCGAAGACAGTAGTGAAATTACCCTGTTGGCTGAATGATCATGTCGTTGACCCCGCTGATAATGATGGAAGGCCGGTTATCATGGTCCCGTCATCTAATTTTGTTGAGTTCACTGTTGTTGATTGATTGAGATAGATTTTCTTTGGTTCAAGTTTTTGCCTCAGTTCTGGGAACGGGAATAGATGCATTCGAGATATACCTTTTCCTTTATTTATGGGGAAAGGTTCGTCAATGCGCTTTTTTCATCCATCCCACACTCAAGGCGGGCTGTGTCAATATTCAAGCCTCATGCCTAGGTGGCTCGGCATGCTGGAGTTGGACAACGAGTTTCGCGGTATGTAGGTGCTGGTTGGGTACCTAGATTTATTATGAATCGATATATACATTGACATCGTGTCTGCTGAAACGTATAATAAAGATCACACATGATCATGCTACTCCGTCAGTTGCAGCTCATCTGCAACACCAAACTTAACCCCCGACACCCCGTCTTGCTCACGACTTCTTCCACCTCCACGCCGCAAGCAAGCTCCATCAGCAGCAGCTGGCCCTTAGCCAAGTCCACCTAGAAGACACACTATAACAGTCAGACAAGAAGCAAAGGCAATAATCTCCGGATAGTACCTTACTAGGCCCTTGATGATGGTGCTGACGCAGTTTGCGCTTTCAAGGTCTACCTAGGTAGGGCACACATAGGAGAGGAATGGCCTGGGTGGGCAGAACGCGAGAGCGGTAAGACACGGGTACCCTGCACGAAGACAAGATGGATGAAGAAACACATCACACGAGCGCCCTAGGCAACCTTGTTACTCCAGATACGACCTATCCTGAGGCAGACCACGGTTTTCCTACCCTTTTTAAACTATCCCAGCCAGTCTCGCTGCTCCCGATAAGATCTGCCTAGGATAGGTGGAAAGGAGGCGCAGTCGTGGTCTAATCAGATTGGGCTGTTGTTGTTATGATATTCAATGAGGCTATTCACAGGTCCCTATATTCTAGTTGTAAACACAAGATAATCCTATTCACTTGGCTCAAGCATACGATTTTGACTCATGCGAAAAACATCGGTAAAGCCGTTTAATCAATACTATAAGCACACTGAGCCGATTTGGCTGCCTGTGTGATACTAACTATTAGTGATGGACATAAAATGAGCAGTAAGGCATGCGATTAAGTGTATGGGATCCCGGATCATATCATTGAAAGTTATCCCAAGGCTTGAAAAAGCTGTACGGAAGAGGGTAATGCACAAATTTAGAAATTCTTCGTAATGCTCTCTACGCTTACTCGAACACCCTCAACTAGCAACTCTGTTCCGGAATTTGCAACGTCCTGAACGCCCCATCCAATCCCCCGTCAGCATCCACAACCCTGTCATCGACATATTCGAGGCTAAGAGCCATTTTGGGACCATCATCTTGCCCGCTTTTCTCTTGCACAGCCTTGACTATAGTCACGGCCATGCTCGAGTCCCAAAGCCCATCCCGTGCCGATGCAAGATGACTCTGCATCAAAGACAGCGCTCGATCCAGCACCCGCCGATCGTGAGTCTTCATACAAATGAAATATAACAAGGCAATAATGTTCGAGGAGAGAGTGAAATCTCGGTACAAGCCGGAATCATCTTTTCTCCCGCCAGTGGAGAGAATGTCGGTAATTTGGTCCATGGCGAAATTCAATCGAGATGCAACTTCTGAATTCGTGTGTTGGATAATGTACTCTAGAATTACAGCGTAGAAGACTCGCGCTTGGATATCGATTAATGTCAGTTGCTGGTGTTGTGCAGGCGTGAAAGAATGGGCGTTGACTCCTGTGGCCAAGTCTGCAATTGCTATCTCCAGTCGCCGGAGTTCATCTTTTATTTGGAGTCTCTCACTGAGAGCCTGTGGGGGTAGTCGATCTTGTGGCACCCCCTTAAAGTCAACATAGAAGTGAAGATGGCGTAATGTCCAACTCTGGAGCGCAAGTAGGGCTTCCTCGGCATGTGCAAGACATGTAAAATGCTCAGGCACGACATGAGCTTGTCCTGATAGTTGCTGTGGTGAAACAAGATCAAGGACGGGAGCTCTTCCCATTATGAATAGACTGGCGTGAATATCTAATCGCGTAAAAATCATTCTCAATTGTCGGTGCATCCCATCAAAACCAACATCGAGGCTGGCTTTGCTATTCCATAGGCTTTGCAATAGTGCTAAGCCCTGGTCGAGATGCCATATCGCCTGTTGTGAATTACCGACAAGACACTCAAAGACGTAGAATATGATGCTGCAGATGAGAGCCGTTTCTGGCGAGGCATCCTGAAAGGCCAGGTGCGTTGATAACTGCTTGTGAGATCTCGCTATCAGCTGTATGTGTTGCGGGGACATCTTCAGCTGCTGTGATCCCACTTGCAAATAGTCTCGGTAGAGAGCGCTGAGCGCCACGAGAGCATGGCGGATGACTGGCTGGTGTTGGCTCTGCTGCAAGACAAGGTGCGTCCATAGTGTGGTATCGGAGAATCTGGAAAGAGTCTCGGACGCTTCGCAGCAGTAGAAGTGAAGTAACTCGCGGTCGGCCTTGCTGCCTGGTACTTTGAAAGGGAGGCTATAGATCTTGATTGCGTCGTTGATCGTGGGTCGAAGAAGGGTATCGCATCGATAGCCAGGACAGATCCGACCGGTGCGAGTGCATCGCCGACAGCCCGGTCGGGTCTCGTCGCACTTTATGCGGCGAGCTCTGTGCACTCGTTATGGATTGAAGCAATCGTGAAGGATGAAGGCGATGAAGACTTACTTGCAGGTGGCACAACCCGTGCGAACCTTTGGCATGCTCCGCCGCTGTCTCTGTCCACCGGTCATGTTTGGAAATGTCAACTTAGCCAGTGAGTTTGTGTTCGAGGGTTTTTGGGGCCGCTGGTCTTAGCAAGCGCTGCTTGGAAGCTGATCGGAAACCTGAAGATGACTCCAACGTAAGACACACCGGAGCAGGATGGGCAGGGCTAGAGTGGGGGCCAGAATGGATGTACTCTGCAGTAAGTCAAGAGTGATTTGGGCATTTAATTGGCTAGGCTGGCACAATTAACTTTGACTACTAGACTCATACATCGAAGCTTGATCGAATCTTCTACCCAGGCCTGATTGTTTTCTCCTACGAACTAGAACCATGGTACGCCAGGGACGAGGCTCAAATGCACAAGAAAGACCTTGCGTTTGAGAAATCTGTGCTTGGACATGATATAAAAGCTGTTACAGGAAGCAAAATGATGGACAATAAGAAACATGCATCTTCCAAGGCTCGGATTTACCGCTTCTTGATGCTGACATCGAGGTTGCCAATGAACCAGATACCAACAAAGACGGTCAGAAGGCCGGCGAAGATGGTAAGTGGCTTGCGCAGAGCATCAACGAGGGTGTGGTCATAAGTCACCTAAAAAATGATCGTGAGTTAAGGTAATCAAGAATATGGCCAGGAGCGCATAACGGAAGACATACCACTAGTTGCGCGTCGCGCGCCTCATCAGTCAGACTGTTAACCTCCAGGGTCAAAGTAGTCCGGCCGAGGGTGTCCATGTAAGTCTTGAGCGAGGACAGACTTGCGTGAATCTGGTTCGCACCAGGCAGACCGTTGCTCGTAGCGCCTTCAATGAGCTCGTAGCGCACATTGTGTGCGCCTTCGGGAAGAACGACGCGCACGACGACACGCTCATACTGAACGCCCTCCGCCATCTTGGGGCCCTGGAGGAATGGCACCTTGAGAACGTACGAGTTGGAGCCGGTAGCCTTGCGAAGGAAAGCAGACAGATCATTGTTCCAGCCCACCTTGAAGCTGTAGTTCCAGCCACCAAAGATCGGGTAACGGGGCTTCAGCTCCAAATTGGCGCCAGTCTTGGCAGTACCGGGACGATAGCGGCTGGTGGACACATTGCCAATGTCATCGATGAAGTACGCATCGACGGAACCGGGCAGCAGAGGGTAGGTGAGCTCACGCACGGCGGAGGTCGGGGCCTTCTGGTAGTTGGAGAAGGTCCACTCAACGCGCGAGAACTGGGTAGTCAGTTGCGAAGCGTTGTTGCGCAGCCAATACCGGTCTTCGGTGGCCAGATTTCCACCCCAGTGCGACACTTCCAGATCACGCTCCAGAAGGCTTGCGGTGATCACCGGATTGGTGAACTCGTAGCGCACGGTAATGGGGTACTCAGTGCCGGGGGCCACCTTGGCCGTATCGTAGGGTCCGTAGGTATACGTGGCGCCCTTGCGCTCCGGGTCAGCGCCGGACTTGAGGCCCTCGGTGGTGGTATAGTCGGGCACATCGGCGCTAGGGAATTTCAGCTTGGTCTTCTGAGTGACGGTCTGATAGGCGGAATTGATATAAGCGGAGAAGCTGTGAGTGAGGTACTGCTTGTCGTTTTGGCCAATGGTTGCTGGGAGCGGGCTCAGGGAAGACAGGACAGAGTAGGAGATTCCGAGAGTGATTTGAGAGTTCGGGGCCAGAGCTTGGGGGAAATGGACGACGAAGTACTGGTTACCGCTATTGGGGGAGATATATTGGTTAGTTAATTGTTCCAACAGCTTCCTGCCGTTGCTTGCAGGACTATAGGCACACATCCATTCCAAGCCATTGATCGGTCCAATGGATACTTACCTGGATGAAACGGGCTCGGTAACGTCTACCTCAAAACGCCCCTTTCCAGTGGCCTTCTTGTCACGCACTTCGAATCCTCCAACGCGCTCAAATACATCTGAAGGGAAAGGAATGTAGTAGTCGCTCTGTGGCTGGTTGTCGACATTCTCAACGACAACATTGACGGTCTCCCGGACGTATCCTTTCTCCAGGTTGGTATTGCGAACCAGATTCGTGTTCTTGAAGACCTGCGCAGGCTTGAAGTCGGATGGGAGAGCAAGTCGAGACGGGGTGGTCAGGTTAGTTGCGGCAACCAGGCTGGGTGCAAGCAACCCAAGCACTGTGGCGGTGAAAAACCTCATTGTGATTGAGGATGTCACGCCGGAGCATATAGGGACTCCGAGCAGTAGATTGGGGGTTCGAGAAAGGTGGGGGGAGGTCTCTCGAATGAGAGGGGGATTTTGGTCGGACGAAGCTGATGAGGTGTCCCCATTGTATACGCAATACGGTGGGCGTAGCGGCCACGACGCGCACTCCGCTACTCTTATCGCCCCCGATAACAGCTTCTCCTCACCTTTCCATTCGCCATCTCCAGCGATCGACCGTCGGTCTGGTCTGTCGTACAATGTTCGCTTCAAGGACTACTGCTCGGCTTGGGTGCTGGAAAGCTACACGCTTGCCTCGCGCGCGCTATCTCCATGATCTCCACAAGCACACTCAGAACAGATTCTTGCAGGTATCAGAAGAGGTTCGCCATGCCGTTGCGACAGGCAAACCAGTGGTCGCTCTTGAGACGACGATCTATACTCACGGTATGTCTTGTAATGTTCCATGGTCTAGTCTACCGAGATTCTTTATTCCATGTTGAGTATCACATCTAATTCGGTGGCAGGTTTTCCATATCCCGAGAACAAAGCTCTCGCAGAGCTTCTAGAATCAGTGGTTCGCGAGAATGGCGGTGTCCCTGCCACTATAGGTATTCTCGGAGGCATTGCCCGGGTAGGATTGACTGCAGAGGAGATGGTTGAGCTGGCCTCGACAGCAGAGCAGAAGACTGCTTTGAAAGTATCCCGTCGGGACCTTGGGTATATCTGTGGCTTGGTATGTTGGCGAGCTCAGAAGAGCACAAAAACGAGAAACTAAGATTATCACAGGGCATGGCAGGCAAGAAGATCCATGGCGGCACAACTATCTCTGGCACAATGATTCTTGCAGAGCTTGCTGGTATCAAGATCTTCGGTACTGGAGGGCTAGGTAAGGCTCACGGCCTACTGAGTACTACACAAAGAGTGTCTGACTGGTTCTACAGGTGGTGTCCACCGCGGAGGCGAGAACTCTATGGATATATCTGGTAAGCATACGGTCTATCAAGGAATCTCAGAAAACGCAGCAACTAAAATCGGGTCTCTAGCTGATCTGACGGAGCTGGGACGTACTCCTGTGACGGTCATTAGTTCCGGATGCAAGAGTTTCCTGGATATCCCCCGCACGCTCGAGTATCTCGAGACTGAGGGGGTCTGTGTGGGTACTTTTGCTGATGGCCGTGAGGGATCGGTCGATTTCCCCGCTTTCTTCACGCGGGACAGCGGTATCCGCAGCCCGCGGGTTATTCAGGACGAGGCTGAAGCCGCCGCTATTGTTTGTAAGTGGCTGCCACTCGATTATCATTATCCAACTCATCTAATATTCTTTCAAGATGCGCAATCAAAGCTCCCAGTTCACTCTGGTATCCACTTTGCTAACCCGGTGCCACGGGAAGCGTCCGTCTCCAAACCGGAGATGGACCGTATTATTGAAGAGGCCGTGCGTCTTGCTGATTTAGAAGGCTACAAAGGCAGTGACAACACTCCCTTCATTCTGGGTAAAATCAAGGAGCTTAGCTGCGGGAAGAGTGTGATCGCTAATCGCGCTTTGGTCGAGTCTAATGTCAAGCGCGCAACGCGGGTGGCTGTGGAGCTGGCCAAACTCGAGAATGTTGACCGGGGGTCTGCAGCTCGGTGAGTTAGAAACTTAGATATAGAATATATACAATGCTAAGTTCGGAGATATGCTTCTGTCTAGACACATGCCCGCTATCCCGAGGACTGTTCGATCAGACGCTGCCAAGGACACTACAAAGCCGAGCAAACCTCCCGTCAAGGCAGAGAAATCTCCTGACCTACCGGTAAAGGCAGATGTTCTGGTAGCTGGCTCGCTTGCAATCGATTTGTCTTGCGACTATACACCCTTCGGCTCAGAGCTGGCCCAGGTTGCCCCCGTGCCACACACATCTAATCCTGCAGTCATCGGACAAAGCCTCGGTGGCGTAGGCCACAACGTCGCAGTTGCAGCTAGTTATGTCGGCAGCGAGGTTCTATTTTGCAGCGTGGTCGCTGATGACCTGAGCGGTCGAGCAGCCCTTGCATCCCTCGAGAAAGAAGGGCTCAGCAACGCAGGCATCCAAGTTCTCCCCGCGGTATCAGGCACACGAACAGCACAATACGTGGCCATCAACGATGCCAAAAAGGATCTTCTTGTTGCCATGGCTGACATGGGTATCGTTGAGCTACCGGAGCACCAGCTCGACTTTGAAGGATTCTGGGAACCTTTGATCGAACGCACAAAGCCGCGCTGGGTCGTTGTCGACGCAAACTGGCGCCCTGAAGTTCTCGCAAAGTGGACGGCTTTGGCTCGCAGACACGGAGCTCGCGTGGCGTTCGAACCTGTATCGACTGCCAAATCGCGCCGCCTGTTTGGCCGTGACGCCAGCGGCGCTGATGCGGCTGTTGGCCCTGCGCAGACAGTGCCTAACAATGCCATCAGCCTGGCTTGCCCTAACAAACTTGAATTGTCAGCGATGTACATGGCAGGACGCGAGGCACTTATCTTCGACTCACCCAGCTGGTGGTCTATTATCGATGCGATGGGACTTTCCCCTACTGGCTCACGCGAGCGCCTCGTAATGGCTACCTCAGCTAAGCTGGTGGATGAAGGTCTCCCACAGCAGTCCATCCAGCTCCTCCCTTTCATTCCATGCATCATCACCAAGCTAGGTGCAGCCGGTGCTCTTCTAACCCAGCTCCTGCCACCTAATGATCCGCGGCTAGCCGATCCCGATTCCGCACCTTATATCCTGTCTCGTGCTTCCTCGGCTGACATGCCCTTTGGCGGCGTTTATATGCGTCTCTTCTCGCCCACTGATATTTTGATACCTGAAGAGGTTGTCAGCGTCAATGGTGCTGGTGATACCCTGCTGGGTGTCATGGTTGCCGGCCTCGCCAAATCTGCCACGCCCCCGCGCGTCGAGGATATTCTTCCCGTGGCGCAGGAGGCGAGTCGGAGAACCCTGATGAGTGCTGGAGGTGTGAGCAAGGACCTGGTAGGGTTACGGGCTAAACTGGAATCTATTGTATAACGAGGTTGATGGCACTGCATATGTACCGGATTATATCCAGCAATCCTTGACGAAGAGTAGACTATCTCTATTAGCTAGCTATCCCTAGGGCAACTATCGCTACTAAACAGGACGGCTCATTCAAAAGAGCTTATACTAGCGCTCCAAGAGCGCGATCGTGAGCTACATGCTATCAAATAAGGGTATAGACGAATTCACCAGCGCTACTCCTAGATACGTGTCTCGATAATCCGATAGACAATTTACAATGTATCTGAACGCCGAATAGTGTATTAAAACCTCACTCTGGCCGCCCGAAGAAGCTCACCGAATATCAAAAAGTTCGAGTCTTCTAGAAGAATTGAATGTAAAATCTCAAAATCTCTTGGCTACTGCAATATGGTGCAACAAAGGCAAGGTAGAGCGACTATGTGTATTTCCGACTCAGTCGTCTCGACATTTCTTTGTATCCCTGCTAATTACCCTCGCTTTCCCGTATTCATCTTAGGCACGAGGTCTGCATCCAATAGTCCCGCCTGCACAAGGACATCCGCCTGGTCCCAATACAAGCTCTGATGGACAATCCGATCAGCAAAGAAACTAGCCACGACCACGACGGTCACCTGGATATCACGATTCGTCGGCGGTACACAAGGAAGTAGCCATGGTACTTCCTTGCTATGGCAGAATGTAAATAGAATCTCGTCCACGATACGATCAGCGCCAACAGTCCGTGATAAAAGACGAATGTGCTGACTCGGTGGGCCAGCAGGTATAAATACGTCCGCAAAGAAAGTCCTCAGATCCTCCGGAGTAGATCCTGGTATACGTTAGTATCAGATTCGAAGCAATATTCTGCCAGTATATCGTATCAGATTGGACAGGTGTTCGATCTCACCTCCAGCCTTTGTAGGCGCACAAACAACCTTCGCAATCTGCTCATCAAGCAAATCCATCCCCCCTCCTTGACTGATCCGATTATTCCCCGATCTTAGCACAACATCCACCGCCGACCGAGCAGCACCCGTCTTCACCCTCTCACTCTTGACCTTGTCCAAATCACCCATCAGTCTCATCCAATACTCTTCCCAAACAGTCTCAATATCATCAACGGGCCAATTACCCCCCGCGCCAAAAGCATGACGCAAACACCCTAACGCTCGACTCCACGCTAACTGCGAACCAATGCGGTCATCATCGTGAGGCCCGTTATCCTTAATGCTATAATTAGACGGTTTGTGTTCTGCGAAACCGGCCCGTGCATCGGGATATGTGTATACGTGACAGCGGTGCCGCTTTTTGTAGGAGACGTCGCCCTCGGTGGGACTCAGGCCGATCCAGGGCCAGAAGGTCGGGGAGTCTGGACGGTGGCCTGGGAGATGGATTTGGATTGGGAGGTAAGATTCTGAGGGGCGGGGATCAAAGATGGAGCTTGTGTCTGAGCAGGCGGGGATACAGCATTCTTGGTTGTGAGACGATAACATGTTGGCGAGTTGTTCGGTTGAGGTTAGCGGGTAGTAGGCGATCAGGGCGCAGAGACGAGGGAACGGGTTGGTGCTGCTGGCTGTGAGATGGTGAGAGCCGAGGAGGTAGTATGCTGGTCGATTGTATGCTGCTAGAATTAGTTATGTCGCCTTTCCTCGATGATTTAGTTGGTGGAGGTACATACCAACTATAGCATATCGCTCCCCGGCCTCCAATTCGTCCTCCTTCTCATGCACAGCAAACTCCAAAGCCTTGCGATCTTTCTCCGCATCATCGGTACAGACAAATCCAAGATACGTCACATCAAATCCCTCCGCTTGAAAGCGCTGGATGATATGCGGGTCGAAGGTAGCATTATCCGAGATCAATATCAAGTGTCGCGGCGAGGGTTCGTCGACAGTTGACCGCCGGTTGCGCTTCCAAGAATTCCCACTTGTAGTTCGATGCAACTCATGCGATCTTCTTGGAATATTACTGCCATTGGCTCCAGATTCAGGAACGGTGCTGCCGGAACCGGTCGTGGCTCGTCTGGCAAGGCGCTGGAAAACGTTTACCATGATGGTGGATGTGTTTGGATGAAGATGAAAGCCCAGGACAGAAAAGCCCCTGCTTTATAAACAATATTCCGGGTGTTCCGGAGGAGTCATTTCTTGGATGACATCGGACAAGAGCGCAACTCGACTGCCTGGCGGTGCCAATACTTCGGATTTCTTGGAGTGACGTCGACGAGTGCTGCGATAAGATAGAACGGTCTGGACCAAAGTACACTGTACAAATATGTGTACATCACATAAGAAAATATTCTAGTTATATTCTAGCGAAGAAGGCAATCAGGAAAAGATAAAAAGAAACAAATGCGCAAACGCTCAATCTGCCAAGTCTATCAAATATCTCAAAACTTCGCGCTAACCTCATCAAACGTCGCCAGCCACTTCCGGTCCTCATTGACCTGGCCAGATGCATTCCCGTCATCCAAAATATATTGCTGATACGCCTCGCGCAGGAGACTTTGTCGCGCAACCTCACAGTCGATCCGGATATCCTCGATCAGAGCCTCCAGGGAGACATAGTCGTATTCAGGACGAATGTATCCCAGGATCAAGAGCTTAAGCTGGGTGCCGTAGAAATCAGGCAGACGGTTGAATTTCGGCTGTGCAACAGCTGTCGGAGAGGGCTGTGTGAGAGGAGGCATGATATGGATTTCCTAGAGGGTGAAGTGAGCACAAGCCCAAACATAGCAGGGGCTCAATCGTCCACGAAAGCTGTACGTACCACCGACCGCACGGTATTCTTATAGAACGGGTTATATCCAATACTCAACACGGCGGGCAAAATAGTCGCAGAGGCCGACTTCTCCGCGCCATTCGTTGCACCATTCCCCTGCGACAGATTCTGAGGGTCTAGCGCGACCACGCCGTAGTATACACCGGAGGTTAACTCGGGATGCTGCTCGGACAAATCGTCAGCGGGGATATTGGCTGTAGGAATTCCTAGCTGTAGAGACCGATGTCAGAGATTGTCAATTACTAGATCCAGTAGGTGCAAAGACTCAGTGCCGATCAGTTTAACATACATCCTTGCTCCCCCGTCCAAATCCTTTGATCACCGGTCCGGACAATCGCACGGGGTACGGGCTCGCCGGGCCTGCGTCAGGCCCAGCAACGGGGTCACGAGGCTTATCGGGACGCATTTTGATTCTGCTGATTTCGAATCTTTGGATTCACCACGGGAAATCAAGCGAAAAGGATAGGGCGCGCGGGGACAAAGATTGTGTGAGTCAAGAGGCGGGGAGCGCGGGGCGCTCGGGGATTTCGGGCCTTCGGAATACGAGGGAGCTTGATAAGCGATTCGCGGGTCCCTGGGACGTTTTGTCTTGAAATTGAGCTGTTCGATAAGAGTTGAATGTGTGGCCTTGAAAGAATTTATCGCAGCAATGGCGTGCTGACGGGCGATGCGTTTGATGCGAAGAATCCAGCGGGGTTCCTACTGAGTTATCGATAAGCCGGCACACCTGAGGCATCACCGAAGTTACTGGAAGCCTCAAATGTCGATCACATGGCGATGATTGATAAGATTGTCAATTCCGAGTGTAACAAGATGAGCCAGTCGGTCGCTACGTTTTCTTAAGGATTTATATCTACCGAGCGAGTGTAGTTGGTGATGAATGAATCAGAAATAAGCTTGCCCATGGTGATGAACCCTTATACCAAGAGACAAAGACCAAGAAACGAACATGGACGTCCAGAAACCAATGACATTATATCATAAATAGAACAATCCCAGCCCAGAGATATCATTTTTTTTTCAACCCTGTTGAGCGCCACAGAAGTAAAAAAGAAAAGAAAAGGGACAATAAACAAAGAAACAAAGAATATCAACAGACGCCCGGTAAGGCAAGAAGACCGGGACGTGGAGATCAGGCCGTAGAGATATGTACTGAGAGGGCACAAGACAAGATACTCGAACAGGTGAGTAAGGGGGAATCATACAATCCCAAAACCAGGAAGAATATGTACCGGGATAAAATGGCAGGCATCAAGGAAAGATAAAGGGAAACAAGAGAAGAAGCGGGGACAGGAGACTCGGGGGGTAAAGGCCGAGTGAGGGTATGAAGAAAAAATCCAGACAAGTCATGCAAGGTGAACAGAAAAGTCATAGGGAAAATCACCCAACATCCTAAGGTGGAGCGATCAAATGCACGGTAAGAACTATGTAAATGGTCAGTTTCTGTCGCCATATCTGGTACGGATTGGATGGGTTCCACTCACATTCATCACGATGAGCATCGGAATATCGAACACGTCTCGCTTGACTGTCCAGCAGTACGCGCATTCGACCTTGCCGTCTTTAAAGCCCAATTGGTTCATACCAGCTTCGCCGGCAATCCCACCCTTGCGCAAGTGATTATTCCACTTGCCATGTTCATCAGCCGACCCGCCTTCCATATCCTCCTTGGTCTTGTATTTGAGCAACTTGCACCGCGTCATAACACTACCACGGGAATCACCAAATGCAAGGCGTGCAAAGTCCTCATAGAACTCAACCACGCTTTCATCATCTAGCAGCTCCGCCAGAAAGACGGGCTGAGGACGGCCACTACTGGCATTCTCGAGCGTCGAGCTGCGCGGCGTGAAGCTTCCTCGTGACGTTGTCCCAGACTGAGGCGGGGCAGATCCGCCCGTGTTGACGTTCAGGTTCGGCTCTTTGCCTAGAAGGACGTCCTTCTTCCATCCGGTGAGGATGCTGAATTCCTTTCCGACGGCGGCGATCTCGCCTGTCCGGCGGCAGACAATGGTCGGCGTACCACAGGCGTTAATGAAGTCTTCGTACTCCCAAAGTGTTCGCTGAAAGCACTTTTCCATAAAGATGAGATCATCCCTGTTCAGGGTTTTGGTGGTCGCAATGAAGGAAGGACGAATGGAAGCAAGCGCTTTGGCGATGCGCACGGTCTTTTGCGGGGTGAACCGGCGCTGGATGAAAGCAGTAAGATTATGGAAGCCCGCCGTATAGCCGTACGGTTCCTTGACACTCTCATAGATCGACGAGGGGTTGCGATGACGTCGCCGAGGGCCCACCTGTAGATCACGGTGCTTTAGGCTCGGGGTCGTGATCAGAGGTCGCTGCCCATTTGGCGCCAGGTTGCTACTCGACTTTGGTACATTGTTGTTGTTGCTGAACGCGGACGCATCCTCAAGTCCGGCCACCGTCACATGCGGGCTAGTCGTCGTAGATCCAGGGCTGGCAAAGCTGGCTGGACCGCTCTCGATCGCAAAGGCATGCGGCGCATCTGCTTTCATGTGGCCGGGCAACATACCATTTTGACCATATACACCGCTGACGTTCACGTGCGGTTGTCCCGAGGCTTGACCAGTCGACCAATCATTGAGCAAGGGGTCCCCAAACATGAATGGCTGTTGATTCCCCGGACTTTCACCAAAGCCAGGAGCTGGAGTGGAGAACTGGGCAGACCCACTGCGGCCGATCGACCCTCGCTGCCCTGCCGAGTCGGTAGGTGAATCGCCCGCGCCGGTAGCCATGTGACCGAGCATGCCGAATTCGAGAGCACCATAGCGATTCTCGAAATTCATGCTGGACAGGTCAAAGTTGAAGAGTGCCGGGTCGCTCGGGTCGAAAAACGGCCCTGCAATTGGATTTTGTTGGCTGGTATCCCCCGAGAGCGCCGTGCTTGGTGTGGGCTGTTGGCCCACGGTGGAGGATAAGCTAGCATTCCGACCGTTGGTGCTGGTTTTCAAATTGAACGTTGGTGATACCGGGGACTGTGTGGTGAATGGGCTCTGGCTAATGGTGCTGTCTGGATACACATTGTACGATCCAGGTTGCGGCTGAGGTTGTGGCTGAGGCGTGGGGTAAAAACCGGCTGTGCTTGGAGTTTGTTGCTGCTGTTGTTGCTGCTGTTGCTGTTGCTGCGGTTGCTGCGGTGTAGACGAGGAACCATTTCTGGTTAATTGCGGCATACCATTGGGCATTCCATTGCCGTTGCTGCCACCGTTATAAAAGTTTCCTCCTATCCCGGGCATCAATGCTCCGTCGGGGGCGTCGTGGAGATACTTGGCCTTTTTACGAACACCGTCATGGCATGCATCCTGAAGGCCGCGCTTAATACAACGTTGGCAGGGTCGCTCATCGCCTGGGCAAAATACTACTATTAGCCAAGACCCAAATTTACCTTTCGGAAGCATGCGCATGAAGGGTGCATGCTGATCAAAAAAAAAAAAAAAAAGAACAATAGCATACCGCATGTTAAGTGAGCTCGCTGGCAGGCAAAGCATGCCCGCCGGGCCTTCTTCCGGCGCGGTCGCGAAGGATCCTTCGCGTTCGCAGCTTTTCGGCCATTCTCGGTTTTGATACCGTCGCCGTTCGTCTTATCTCTAACAGAATCCATCTGTTCCGAGTGTTCGGTGGCATCAGCGGAATCGCGATCGCCACCACTTGGGTCTGCGGGAGATTGGGAGCCGTCCTTGGCTTCCACGTTCATTTCGTCATGTATTCCCCCAGGCACGGGAGGTGGGGGTAAGGGTGCTCGGTATCACGCGTCCAAGGGATACGATTTTCGACAAATTCGTTTAAAGGCTCAGAGGCCTGTTCTAGAGCACCTCTTACTGTCTTGATCTCAAGATCTCGCTCTGTAGAGGCACCGGGACCATTCGCGCACTCTTCAGTTTATTCCGGACGGGCGGATCCACGTATCGTAACTGGCGCACTGACGCAAACTCGGAGTTCTGACACGAAACGAACGGTCGCAAACTCACGCCGACTGTGTCTTTGGCTTCTAATTCCACCGAGATCGCCGAGACCTGTCGTGAATCGTGGGTGGCGGAATCGGGACCTTATTGTCGCGCGCTTGCGACTAATGCTGGCGGGGGTACGGAGGATAGGTATTGGGTTGAGTCACGGGTGTAACGGGGTACAATCGACTCGAAGTAAGACGAGGCCGCAAAAATCTGACGCATTGAAGAGTCTCGGATTTTGGTGTGGTAAGGCGGGAGAAGCTTTGAAGCGACAGAATTAGGCGACAGGAACAGGCAGGAAAAATGCCGCAACGGTTTGCGGGAGCAGCTGAATTCGGGAGTGGAGAGTTGGAGGGCGGCAGACTTGTTCGGCTGCGGGGAAGGCGGGAATTGATGTAGTTCGGTTGATTTGCCAGGTTCCGCTCGCGACAAAGATGCGACGGAAAGAAAGAGAGGAAGAAGAGTAGAACAATCGAGGCGAGGGGAAGAATAGAGAGGGCCAGATTTGGTGAGGCGCGGGGGATGGGAAGGACGATGTCGAAAGTTGGAAATTTGGAGGGACTGGGAAATGGGTTTAACTTGGATCGGAATGTTCCCGTGACTGTAACTTGCGGAAGGCGTTCTAAACTGGCAGACTGGAACTTGAATCGGGCCAATTCCTGTACGAACCACTAGGAACACTCGTTGCAGCGTGAAAGGGGGAGGGGGCCTTCTCTTGGGTTTTCTTCCCTTGGGAAGCGTGAAGATCTACTTCTAGACTCGATTTCTTCTCCGCGGCTTGTTAATCCTCATGGAGATGTCGCCATAGCTTGCCTAACTCTGTTCTACGCCCAGAGGGGGGGGGGGGCTATACTTACCTACTTTGTGCGGTTCGTAAGACGAGTCCGGTAGTGATTTGACTGTTGCACTATTTTACTTTTTTTTCATAATATTTTACCTAATTAAAACGAGACACGAAGGAAGACTATGTATTCTTAATTACGAGCCAGCCAGATCGCGCCTTTAGCGCCTCTAAACACTGTAAACCTTGAACTGATGTCTGATCTCACACGAGGCATTTCCCCTCAGGACCTGCATCAATAGTGGTATTCCACATCACGGCACTCGCTAGATGCTACTAGCTGCGTAAAAAATAAAACTCGCAAAGCCAAGGGCTTAACTAACGTACAGAGTCCCGACCTACATCCTGTTGACTGTAAGACCATCTCACATGCTGACGTTTGGGCAGTCGCCGACTGGAGCCCCGGCACTTGCGTATGGTAATTTATCCGTGACCGGGCAATACCCGCGTGTTCGTTTCGAGCCCACATCCCCAGAGGCAGTTGCGCACGTGTGGGTTTAAGAGCAACGCAAGAGAGTACTCCCCTATCCGACATTAGTCTCGGAAATCTACCCGCCGATACGCAATTACAAGGGAGATCTCTATCCAACATTTCTTCAGTTCCTAACCTCCCCAAAAATATCCATTTTTAACGCCATAACTGACTCATAAAAAGCCTCACAACTCTTCCGCTCTGCTCGCGTCTTTCTACGGCCCTCGGAGGCACAGCGGCTCCGTTTTATCCCGAGGCTACGTAGTAAGCCCCGCGAGCCTCGGTTAGCTTCTCAAAGCTGGAGCTGATCTTTCAACTGGGAATTCGTGCAAGATTGAGTGATTTGTTGGTTTCCAGGTGACTCATGCATAGAATGCTCGGCGTCGGAACGGCGGGGGGACATCAATTGGTGCGGATAGAGTGGCAGATGATGGACGTGTCTCTAAATGCGAACTCGGACTACATAGTGCTCGGTCATACTTCGTAATCTGACTGTGATGTAGACAAACCGGGGCATATATTTAGTGGAGATTTGCTTTTATGAGAAGCCCAGTCGCACTTTGACATCGAAGTTCAAGATCAAATACTAGAGCTAGTGACTAGAAAAGAAAGGCCGATAAAACAGCTTTAACGAATCCGATGATGCGATGATAAACATCGGTTGAAAAAGATATATTGGAAGCTCTTCTTTCTTCTACTCAATATTTACGGCACACACCCCAAAATCATCTGCATTACAAAATCCAGCTAAAGGTAGGACAACAGCTAGTTTGTTGGGGCTTTTACCCAGGCCGAAAGGCTTGAGCACAGCGCCTATGGCTCTCAAGAGCTTCCGTGCCTGGTTCTAAATTGCTCGTCACCGGATCACAAAACACCAGGCTACCGCTTTATGGGACACCATCTGAATTACTACTCCAGCCGAGGACAGATGCAGCAAGATTTGAGTCCAGATTCGAATATGTATATATTATTTTAGCAAGTACTGTATGTACGGTTCACAACATGAGCGAACGGTGAATGAAATCTATTTTATGCCGAGAATAAGATCTTGTAGCGGCGACCTTGAATTCTCTCAGTCGCGGCGTGCAATCTTACATCTGAGAAGTTGCGAAGCGACTCTTCTTCCGAATACGAGCACCGTAGCGAAAGAAAATGTACCTATCAAATGATTAGAAGACGAGTTCACAAAAATACGCTTTGCCCTGTGAAGTCAGAGCCGGTTGGCCATTGTCACAGCCACATGCAGGACTGGATGTCAAAAGGTACTCTCCAGCCAACCTCTGTGTCGCCGGTGGGTATTGAAATGCAGGGGCAGAAGACAAATCAAGGGTCATAGCGGAGGGATTTGCGGATGAAGAGGGGGAGGGACGGACTGGGGAAACTGCACTGGGGAACTTCAAATGATCGAGTAACAAATGACTTACGGGAAAGGAAGCATTAACAGCGTGAGAAAGGCTAACAGTGACGTCGCCCAATGGATTCCGAGGTTGTTATACACTGTGCAATCATTAGCAAATCATAATTCTCAATGTGATCACTTCTCAACCAGGATCAACCCAGGTCTTCCCACGCCCTTCGAACAAGAGATCCCCAACGGCTCGCTCAAGGCACGATGCATCCGTCCGGCAAGAAGGATATATTACTCGCTGCATGCAAAGCACAGACCCTTCGGCACTGTTCGCAGGGTATGGGAAGAAACACCGAAGAAGAAAACACTTACTCTGTATGCCGAACAAGGGGAAGATTCCTCCAAAGCTAGACCGCATGAAGCTATTCGCTGCCAACGCGCTCGCTGCAAAGGTCGGATATGCATCGACCAGGAATGTAAAGACACCTGAAAAGACCAGGATTGTTCTGGAAGTAACACAAAAGCCCATTAGTATGTCAATCTAAAATTAAAAATTCAAAATTCATGGGGGCAAGCAGTCAGGTGAACTTACCCGGCGCCAAAGAGGGCACTGCCAATGATGGGTGCAATCCAATGGACATTGGGGTAGGTAGTCCAGGCAAAGATGAACAGACCGGCAGTCACCAAAGGGCCACCCAGAATCGCTGAATTTGGTCAGATTAGATGCGAATCTCATGAAAGAGTAACTTGCCGACTTACCTGGAGGCAACCGCCACTCGGGCTGAAATTCATCTGCCCCGTCCGTCTCGTTTTGATAATTCCGTTCCAATCGTTGATAATTGCGACGCCAAATAGGATCCGAAAGAATCGCGAGGACCATACCAACAAAAAGACCCATAAAGCAAAGGCCCCGCTGCCACAAATCAAAGCCATAGACTTCTCTAAAGACCAATTGGAACGCGCCGAAGAAAAGGTACAGGATGCCCAATAGGATCGCGGAGAACACACAGAGGTTCAAGCACATTGGCTCCATAGTGAGGAGCATAATGGGGCGGTACATGGATCGTAGGATCGTTTGCGCCACTGATCGCTGCATCTTTTCGATCGGCGCTTTCCATCGGTCGTCTCCGGTCTCCTGGCGGAGTTTCTGGGCTTTGCGCCTCAAGAGCCTAATTGTGCGGGTTAGTATAGTATTTACACCGCCACTCTTCTGGATCTGATAGGGAAACGTACACTGGGTGATAGGTTTCTGGAACGAGGAAGATCATCGAGACTAGTAGGACGCCGGTCCAAATTAGGAGGACATAGAAGGTCCAGCGCCTGAGGGGCTGTTAGCTCCGATTCCTCAATGTACGTCACAAAAGAATTGCACTAACCATCCAGTATAGTAGTTGATAAATCCACCGACCCTATAGCAAAAAGTTAGATCCTTTTCAAACGATTGCTAGTCGTTGGCGATCTTACAGTGGCCCGACTTCGGGTCCAATGAATGGACTCGCGGTGTAAAGCATCATTGGGAAGGCAAGTTCGTGTCGATCAAACATATCACCAACAGTGCCACCAGCAACACTCAAGAACGCGCTTCCTGACAGACCGTTGAAGAATCGGCTCACAAGCATCGTCTGGGTGTTCTTTGCGACAGCGCAGGGGATGAGCCAGATCAAGAAGAGCGAGAAAGACACGATGTAGATATTGCGCCGACCATAGAACTATATTATCGTCAGTTTGCCAGTCTCTTGACTTCATTTATCTCTTTTTGTTTCACCTCAGATAGAGGACTCAGGAATAGAGGGCCAATTCCTATACAATGCCACTGTTAGCAATCATGCTCTTACACTCTCACAGAACGCTACCGTCGAGAAAAACACACCAAGTCCCCAGATGAAGAATGACAGTCCCAGCGTCGCAACTTCTTGCGAGCAACCAAATTCCTTCATCAACTGCTCATACGTCGTGGTATACATGGACGACGTACAAGTCCTGCAATAACCGAAGTCAACATCAAAATCCCCAAAGGACAACATACCCGACCATTTATCATGCAAAACTTACACACAAAGCGACCCCAACGACACAATGATCACAATCAACCATCTCCTAGCCTTGCTCATATTTCGCGGATTCATAGGATCATTCGCATCCCAACAAACCGTATATCCAGCATCATCCCCAGGTCTTTGTTGCCCCGCGGCCTCATCCGCCTGCTCTTCTTCAAACCCATGACCTCCCAGACTAACACCATCATTCAAAGACCAACAGCGTTCTAGCGAGCGCGAGCGGGATACATTAGACCGTTCCCTTTTAATTTGCTTATCGCGTTGTTCCTCCGGCGCGACAATAGGCGCAAAAGTCGCATCTTCGGATTTCGTCTGCTCCAGCCCGATATCGTCATCGCTCCGCTCGCGCGGGGAAGAATTAGTCGAACGGCGCGAGTCCATAGTAACTCTTCTCTCGAGGTCGGAGAGATCACCGAGCGACATAATCGGAGAGTTCGCGTTGCGTGGTGGCGGTAAACGTTACTCCAACGGTAGTCAGGCCATGCAGCCAAGCTTGAATTCGAAGAAAAACAATTGGGGTTGATACGAGGAGCGGGAACAGTAGTTATACGAGCTGCTGTTGGTGCGAATTCATGAGGAGATTATGACTGTCGGGTCCTCGGCCTTGACCAGGTTCCTGAACGAATTCTGTATTTGAAAACCAGTCTTCGGGGAAGCTTCAGACTGAGCTGATTAATCACCGTTATCGCTGAGGGCACGAGCTAGTGCGAAATAAATTATGACGCTACCGCGCGTCGGAACTGATTACCCACTCTCGGGGTCTTCTGCCCCAGGGGGCCGACATGAGGCCGAGGTCGGCCCGTGGATTCAAAAGCGGTCGTAGTTAGTTAGGGTATAGAATTGTCGTACAGTAGTAATAGTGCGTATAAGTTCGCTTAATATGAGACGGCTTATAGGAGGGTATACATTTGATATTCCAGTAAAAGCATAAACGGTTATAAGCGAAACATCTGCGATCATCAGTACTATGGCGGACATTTTCAAGATTGTCTGTTCGCATGAGACGGGCTGGGTGGAGCTTAGATAAAGCTTAATCTTGGACATCTCGAGTATGGGTTGTCAAATATATACAGACGAGGTCTCTCGCGTTAATTCTCCGATGATACCTCGTGGACGCACGTACCAGAAACGGCTATGCATGGACTCCCACGTGGCAGGGGCTGCCCAACGGTTCTGGCGCAAAGACCTTCCTGTAATATCGATCTAGTCACGAGCATCAAGAGGATTAAAAAATTAACAAAAAGCATTTCTAGCGGAGAATATGGTTGATTCCAAGAGTTGGTTATGTTCGATTAACTATAACGCTAACACCACGTCAACACGAGCTCCTTCGGCAATTACACTCCAACGAAGCAATCAGACAAAGGGTAGGATCGGAAGCACCCAATAAAGAAAAGAAACGAAAAGACCCATCAGAACAGTACAGGAGTCACCGAAGACCCAATTCTCCAATCCAATCCCAAACTCCATGATAGACATCCAACGCGGTACGACCCCAGTTGGCGGTCTCAAAACAATAATCGGATCTTCCAGAAACCCATAGACCGTCCCAAACTCAGCTGTACATGAATGGAAACCGTGCGCCAGTATGTCCCAATTTTTACCAAGTCGAGTACAAGCCAAGATCAGTCATGGCAAGACAAGACGAGATATGAATGATTCTTTGTTTGTTTCTTTACAGAAGCTGGGACAGTTGGCTCATGGCACCGCCGGCGTTCTCTTCGGCCCAGGAACCCCAGAGAGCCTCCTTGCCGCGGATCTTAATAGTAGAGCCGATGGACTTGGAGTTCTGTTCAACCTTGACAGCGTCCTTTGTGGCCAGCACCAGGACCTCGAAGAACATCTTGGTGGCATCAGCCTTGCTAGAACGCTGCTCAGGAAGGAGATCCTGGAAGACGACGGCCTTCTTCTGTTCAGCGGCGGAGGCGTCCCCAAGGCAATCGCGCAGGATGTGCACGGCGTGCTTGGTGCCGATCGAGACGGGTTCAGTGTCGACGGGCCGGATAGTGTCATCCATATCCTCAATAGAGGCGCTCATGCCATCATCGCTCATAGGGGCCAGATCCTGGATGCCATCATCGCCCGGGAAGTCGATCTCGGACTGCAGGTTCAAACCGGTGTCAAGACCGATGCCCTCGTCGACAGTAACGATAGCTTCATCTTCACCAATCTCCAGCGCGGGAACTTCAGCAGCAACTTCCATATCAGAGATACCGCTGTCACGCTTCCGCTTGAGCTCGCCAGCTTTCTTAACGTTATCCAGAGACAGGAGATCGCGCAGCTCGGGGGCCCAGCCATGGCTGCGCTCCTCGCCGAAGATACTAGAGACAAAGTTGCCGTTCTGCTGACGGGTCATCAGAGTAAGAAGGACGGGGTCACGAGGCAAGAAGGAAGATCTCTGCATAATAGCCGAGCGATCAGCCTGGATCGCCTTGACCTCCTGGGAAGTGTAATGGGTCTCTTTGTCGGCAACGATGACCTTTTGACGCTTGACACGCTGGGCATGCTTGGTAGTTCGAGACTGAACGTCTTGAGTATCTTCACGGTTGAGTTCTGACTCGAGCAAATCCATCTGAGCAGAGCCAGCATCGGAAAGCGGGCTTTCGGTATCACGCGCGAAGCGGCTTTCTGGGCGGGGGGTCTCGCCGCCAAACCCAGCATCGTCGCCGAAATCCATTGGGCCATCATCCATAAGCGGGTCGTTCACGTTGTCGGAGCCAAAGTCAAGCTTTTCCAGAGGAGCATCGCCAATATCAAGGTCCAAGTCACCGTCGTCGTGGAGTTTGCCGGAATCACTGAACAAATCTTCGTCCATGGGGCGAGCAGGGGGAGCATCACGACCAATTTCAACGCTGTGATCCAGTCCAAGAGGGAGTTCATCCTCGCCAAGGTCCAAATCCAGGTCAATCAAAGAAGGGTCTTCGAGGCGGGCAGGCTCCTGAGACATGGATCGGCGGTAACTGCTATCAGGCAGAAGCTGGCTGCCAAAATCCACAGTACCTGGTCGCTTGCCTTCCAGCTCCAGACTCAGGTTCTGAGGGAACAGCAAAGACGTATCAAGGTTGGTGAAAAGGTCGGACTCGGTCAGCACGTCGGGCAGAGTAATACCACCCGGCGCGACAACGGTTGTCGTCAAGTCATTGTTGTTTGTAAGACGGAATGCCTATAGCGCAACTTGTCAGTTGTTTCTTCAAACCAAAGTACTGGATATCGAGTTTATTGCGTACCATTTTGATCTTCATCAATGCTTCGTTACAGTCGTCGAGTAGATAACGCGCCTTGCGGCTGTAAATACGCACAACGCCGAGGAGCAGCTGGCCACTCAGTCGCAGAGCCATGGGCGCTTGCCCCTGATCGACAATGGCGCTAACACTGCTCTCAATGTCGGACTGGAGAATGTGCGACTTGGACAGTTTGCGCTCAATGTTGGCAGACAGCCAGACACGGGCCAGCGGCCCTGTCTTGGACAGGAGAGTCTCGGAGTAGAACATCGCGCGTGATAATACACAAAAGAACTATGCACAAACGAGCAGCACACCAGGAGGGGAGAGGTTAGAGCCCGCCCGGCGCGGGGTGAGGGCGTAGCAAGGGTTTCACGCGCTGTGGAAGCCAGGAAAACAAAGACTCGGGGGGGCTTCTTGTGGTGGCCCCTGATGCAATATCGAGACAGAAAGAGGGTGGAGTAGATGCGACGAAAAAAGGCAAAATTAAAGAACAGGTCGCGTTGGTGTCACGTCCAAGATGGGGCGCGAGGCATAAGTTGGCAGAGTAACGGGGGAGAACTGAGGATGCGCGTCGGTGGGAATCAGGCGTCGAGGAGTCAGGTGAGTCCAGCCTCCGGGTGGGGGCAGCAATCGCAGTTTGGGAATTCTAGGGGGCTGGAGTTGGGTGCCTTGGAGACGAGGAATGCATAATAGTTACGTAATGACCACACTGCCAAGAGCTTAGGTAAGCACATATAGTTATACATCATAATCGGTAGGTACCTAGCGAAGGAGTATAGGTCTTTTGTAACTGGAGGCAATTGTTAGAAGACTTACCGACGCATTTCAACTGTATATAGCTTGGACTCTATCCTGCTTGTTTGGAAGGTGAAATTGATTGACTTTTCAGGCTTCTTGCAGGTCACCAATGCGCTCTGGATCTGCCTTGTATCAGTTTCAGATGCGATTCCTCCAATTCAGTCGAAATTTGTAGGCAGCATATTCATACATATCCGTTTTGACTTGATTTTGAGCCCTTTATCCATCTAGGAGACTGATATGGAAGTTGTTTGAACCTCAGTAGGCCATTGTATTGAAACATACGAGTTACAGTCTGAACATTAGCCTGATCATCTTGTCAACCCAACTCGACGCTTACAAAATAGATCTCCCTCCAGAAAATGGCAGTCCTCAAGTCTACAAATTAACTATACGATACTTGACGATCTAGAAGGTAGCAGTCGAGAAGCAACACATACCTTGCTGCTTCTTATGCTCTCTTAAAGTCACGTGATTACACGAGCGTGCCGGATTAACTGACTGCCCGGCGGCTCTAGTCTCCTTTTGGTAAAGCATCAGCATGGACTTGGCCGTTTCCAGAGTCGACAATTCAGGGTTGGCGGAGTTGGCGATTCTTTGCAAGGCTCAACACTATTACGACTTCTCCTATTATCACGGTTCCAATTTTTTTGCCAATTAATCGCTTCTATTTTGTGCTTGGCTGCGTCGATAATCCTACCTCAAGCAGCTAGTTCTTCTCAGTCGGTTCCATCATTGCCAGTCTAACCCCCCGTCTCGAGGCTACTGCCAGATCGCATCTCAAGAACGTTGACCCGCAACTCCCAATTTCGATCCAGACGGGATGCAAAGTGCCCTCCGATAAATTCGGCGCGTCGCTTCTCTTTGTCCTTCCCCTCTTTCCCCTTCTTTCTTTCGGTCAAAGCATGAGAAATGTCAAGGTCCGCGACACCTGCGTTGCCTCTGCATAATGCACCCAACTCCGACTCTCTGCGACCCTCCTCCACCTCCCCATTAGGGGTCCGGCCAGATGCGCCTTCATCGGTATGTCCTTCGCTCAATTGTTACCGACTTTAGCGTCAAAGAGCCCCTCCTAATTGTCATGCTCTCAATTGGCTCATTCCCACCGCTAACTTATCGCGATGTCTTTTCTAGGCTTCGACTTCGACATACTCGTGGCTCGAGCCCCATGAAACCGCTGAAAGATTACACACATCCCTATTACATGGCCTAACTCCTGCAGAGGCAGAGGTACGCCTCGCACGGGATGGCCCTAATGAACTACCCCATGAAGAGCCAGAGCCCATGTGGCTGCGATTTGTTAAGCAGTTCAAGGAAACTCTCATTCTTCTCCTCCTCTCCTCCGCCGGTATATCGTTTGTGATGGGCAATTACGACGATGCTGTGAGTATCACCCTTGCAGTTACCATTGTGGTCTCGGTCGGCTTTGTACAGGAGTACCGTTCGGAAAAGTCCTTGGAAGCGCTGAACCGTCTTGTCCCGCATTTCGCCCACCTCATCCGTGACCTCCCCACCACCGCAACTGCGGCCGCAGAGCCATCCACCGCTGGAGTAGAATTAGATGAATTGAAGATCAAGAGCCCAGGCGCAGCATCCGCTGCCATCAAGGCATCCACCACCGTCCCTGCGGCTGATTTGGTACCTGGTGATCTGGTACTTTTCGCCACCGGTGACCGCATCCCCGCCGATATACGAATCACTGCCGCAACGGATCTCACGATTGACGAATCGAACTTGACAGGTGAAAACGAGCCCGTCGTCAAGTTTACTGCCGCGCTACATAGCCATCATCATCACCATCATGGGAACCTCCAAGTTCCAAAGGCCATCAGCCCTCCACGCTCGCCATTCTACGATGCTCCCGCCACTGGTGCTGTCGGTGCCGATGTTCGCCTCAATGAGCAACACAACATTGCATTCATGGGTACACTTGTCCGCTCTGGGTATGGCCAGGGAATTGTTATATCTACAGGCGCCAAGACGGAGTTTGGAAGCATCTCCGCTTCTTTACAGGAGATTGAGAGCCCCCGGACTCCTCTGCAGCTTTCCATGGACCGGCTTGGTCAGGAGTTGAGCTATATCTCTTTCGGTGTCATCGGCCTGATCATGGTCATTGGCCTCTTGCAGGGGCGAAAGGTCCTCGAGATGTTTACTATCGGTGTTTCTCTCGCCGTTGCGGCTATTCCCGAAGGCCTGCCTATCATTGTGACTGTCACTCTTGCTCTTGGCGTACTTCGTATGGCTAAGCGAGGGGCAATTATGCGCCGACTTCCTAGTGTTGAAACACTTGGCTCAGTTAACGTTGTCTGCAGCGACAAGACTGGTACTCTGACTATGAATCACATGACTGTAACCAAGATGTGGCATTTTGATTGTGACGAGCCGTTTGAGGTTCAGCGGGACATGACCTCGGCCTTGTCACCTGGTCCTGCAGCTCGGACTATTCTTCGCGTTGGAAACATTGCCAACAATTCTCGTCTCTCTCGGACTCACGCCAATTCCCCAGCTAGTGCATCCTCTGCAGCCGTTCTTTCGTCTACTCTCGATAGAAACTCGACTGCCGTGAAGAGTCGCTGGGTCGGTCAACCTACGGATGTCGCTATCTTGGACTTGTTGGACGTGCTAGGAGAAGATGACGTCCGCGACCGAATCAGTGCGCGTGTATCTGAAACCCCATTCAGTTCCGAGCGAAAGTGGATGGGCGTCATTATTGGCACCCAAAACCCTGGCGATTCTGACTTTGCCTATATCAAGGGTGCCATGGAACAGGTTCTGGCTCGTTCAGACACTTATTTGACCAAAGATGGCCGTGAAGTCATTCTCGACGAGCCCCGCCGCAAGATTATCCGTGAAGCAGCAGAGCGGATGGCCAGTGAGGGTCTGCGAGTTCTTGCTTTTGCCAGTGGTGCTGTCCGCAATCCCTCTCGAGGCATGAGAGGTTTTGGCAGTCGATCTAGTACTCCTAGCTCCAAATGCAGCAGCCCGGCTGATGATGATGACCGCTACAATGGATTGACCTTTGCCGGCCTCGTTGGTATGAACGACCCGCCTCGCAAGGATGTGCACAAATCTATCCGTCGTCTGATGGCGGGCGGGGTCAGAGTCATTATGATCACCGGTGATGCTGAGACCACTGCCGTCGCCATTGCCAAGAAGCTTGGGATGCCAGTGAGCGACTCCGCAAACGCACGATCGGTCATACGTGGTGATGAGATTGACCATATGAGTACTGGAGAACTTGCCCAAGCCATTGCAACTACCTCGATCTTTGCCCGTACAAGCCCAGACCACAAGATGAAAATTGTGCGTGCGCTTCAGTCTCGTGGAGACGTCGTCGCTATGACCGGCGATGGTGTCAATGATGCACCGGCTCTGAAGAAAGCTGATATTGGTATCTCAATGGGCAAACTTGGTACCGACGTCGCGAAGGAGGCTGCCGATATGATCTTGACTGATGACGACTTCTCGACCATTCTCCGGGCTATCGAACAGGGCAAGGGTATCTTCTATAATATTCAAAACTTCATCACCTTCCAGCTTAGCACCAGCGTGGCTGCCCTCAGTCTTGTGTTGCTGAGCACCACTCTTGGGTTCAAAAATCCACTCAACGCCATGCAAATTTTGTGGATTAGTGAGTTTCATACCTCTATGCACACGTTATATTGATCTACCTCGCTAACTTGATCTTTCCCAGACATTCTGATGGATGGCCCACCAGCACAGTCCCTTGGTGTTGAACCCGTTGACCCTTCGATCATGAACCGTCCCCCACGCCCCAAGCACGCCCGCGTTCTTACTCGCCCTCTCATCCAGCGAGTTCTTACATCCGCCTTTGTCATCATGCTCGGCACACTCGCCGTCTACATCCACGAGATGGGCGATGCGACCGACGGTCAACCCATCGGCAAGCGATCCAAGGTTGTCACCGCTCACGACACCACCATGACCTTCACCTGCTTCGTCCTCTTCGATATGTTTAACGCGCTGACCTGCCGCAGCGAAGGCAAGTCCGTCCTGCGCGGTGAGCTACCCCTCTTCGGCAATAAAATGTTCAACTATGCCGTACTGGGTTCGCTAGCCGGTCAAGCTTGTGTCATTTACCTGCCCTTCCTCCAGCACGTTTTCCAGACGGAGGCGCTTAGCTTTGGATCACTATTCAAGTTGGTCTGCCTTGCCAGCTCGGTGTTCTGGGTTGACGAGGGGCGCAAGTACCTTCATGCACTCCGCCGCCAGCGCGGTCTGGGTGCTGGGTACAGTGTCAATGTATAATGTGTTTCCTTGGAGGTCTTTCATGGACACAGTCTAGATGGAGTCCTTCTGGATGACTTGTAATTTGATGGGATTGATAATCCTTATACATAATAGAGCTTTTCTGCGTGCATCAAGCATTTTAGGTTGGGTATCTGCATTGTTGATTTGATACGTACATGATTGAATACACATGTTCCAAATGCGTGTCTTTTCCTTCGTCTATAGCTTCATGTTACAGTATAGGGCAGAGACACTGCTTGAGTAGAAGGGAAGTAGAGCACTTGAATGTGTATTTGACTAGTCTGTTGCTTGAGGAGATGAACGTGCGAACGGCAAGAAGATTCAGGAAACCACAAGAACCAAGGGCGGTCAGGCAAATAGTCTCAATGTCATATCACGTTGGGCTATCAAAGCATGCCAAATCTTTGATGAGAGGTTTGACCACATTTTCGAGTACGGCTGCTTGGAACTCGCCGCTCTCTACTTCCATAGATCTAGACCTCGCTCAGATCAAGCATTGGTTAACGAAATTACCATATCTCGTCCCACTTTCGCGATGCACGGAGACTGGCAGCGGTCTTCGATATTGAGATATCGCCAGAGCACCAGCTCTCTGGGAGTCAGTTGCCCTGAAGTTGAATCACAGTACTCGCTAACTTTGCGGCTAGACATAGGCGATCTCTTCTTGAGAATGGAATACCGCCATCAACGGAGAGGAGGGAAAGAGATAATTCTCGGAGTAACTCTTCAAGTGGCAGCGATTCCAAACTTCCTTCATCGCTTTTGAGCACAAATAAGTCATGCCTGTATGACCCATCACTAACATAGCCAAAAGGTTGTTGCTTGCCATGAGACGTCGCATATTGAGCAAGTGTATTGCACATGTCGGATATCTGCGACGGAGAAATACTATGGCTGGGCTCCGTAAATGAAAACAACCGATCAACCGACCACTGTAAATTTGGGGGCATTATCTTGGAGCCCGGACCAAATACTTAGGGAGCCTCAGCTGGTGCTTAGATATATACCAACCGGGGCAATTTAAGATAGTAAACTAATTCGTTGACACTCAACGTCTGCTGGGGTGCGCTTGTTGCTGTGTCCCAAAGAGGCACTGTTTTATTTAAGTCTAACTAACCCCTTCGAATTAAGTAGCTAGTTAACTGATGGATATACTGTTAGTAATCAGAATATCCTACCTCCTCCAAGGACCACAGTAAATGGTCATCCTGATCCGGGTTTTCAACATGGCAACCATTCGGAATAATCTCATCCACCCCCTTGATCTCCTTCAACCTCAAAGAACCTGAGTCAAATTGGACCATTAACGCAGCTACTTCCTTATCGTGTACTTCATTTGCTCCCTTTTCATAGCCTCGAATGGACAAATACTCCAGACTATCCGGTAGACGGTCCACTAGCCTGACACTTGCTCTTTTCGCATCATCGATTTCGACGCCCTGGGCGAAGTAAAGCAAAAGTTCAATTCCGATACTCAGTTCTTTCAATGCCACAAAGTCTTTCAGCGATGCATCGCGGTCCCAAATCGACGCCAAGTATCGGTGCATCTTGAGCTCAGGGTCATCATCGTCGAGATCATCAGGTTCGTAAAGGTCAAATTCGAATTCACCGGGGCCTCCATATTTGTCCCAGTCTCTGCGAAGGAGTATTGCGACTTCGCTTCACCAGGGTAGCTCGAAGTGAATTGTTCGGTATCGATGTCGAGAACTTTTAGCGTTCTTTTGTGTGCTGCTAGCCCTTTGATAAAGGCTTTTGGATTGAACATAGGATATCCCCCATCAAGGCTTGCTCTTCCTCCAGTGGTATATTGGAGTTCGGTCAGGGTTTTGCAGGATGCCATCACGCATAAGAGATAGCTCGAGTACAAAGAGGAGTGGTTGATTTTGATTTTGCTAATATTCGAGCTTGCGTCCTCGCATGTTTGTTTGCCGTTGTTCTCATCTGGCTCAAACGCATCGATACCAAATGACTCGATGGATGGGAGTTTATTGAAGAGCTCGAGGCAAGCAATCAAATCTGATTGCACATAGTACCGCCCATCACTGGAGATGCGATCTCCTCGATTGATCAAATAGACATCGCGTAGTTTCTGAAGGAAGCGAGTTTCCTCTGGGCGGGAATTAGCCTGTCGGAAAAGTTCAACGAGCGGCAATTCTTTGGCCCATTCTTCGCCTTCCTCGAGCTCGATGTAGTAAAGGAAAGGCTGTGTCATTGCCATGGTCTCAAGATTTGGTGACATGGACACGATAATAGCGACGATCGCTTGTGTGATGTAAGCGGGGGTAATGCCAAATTTCCTAGATGCTGAATGTCAGATTTCTGTGCAGAAAGTCACCCGATGGCAATGACTGAGGAAACCTCTTACCAGACCCTACAACCTTCAGGGGTAACGTAGCCCAAGTCATGATTCAATTTGGTTTGCATGAGCATATTGATGATTCTTTCTTCCTTGTCGCCCTGAAAGCCCGCATTTTGTACCGCGCGTCTGAGAAGACGCATATCATTCGCGGTTAGATCGCGTTGGTATGGTAACTCAGGATAGTCATCACCATCCACAGGCCAGCACACATACTCAATCCGCTTTACGAATTGCAAGGCAAGGTCGCCTAGCAATATCCATAAGCAGCTGAAATGTATACTCGAGATTGTGTTGATCGTCATTAACAAAGATAGTCCGGTGTGCTGCACGATCGCCCTTTTCACAGGCCGAGAGGCCAAAATTGGAATCGGATAGTTCGGATACATGGCAATCGGAAAAGGATCGTAACATAGTCTTGAATGGTAGGTTGGGAAACCTTTGATAGAGCCCGGGTGATAGACAGCGTACGGATTTAACGACAGAGCCCGGGGCCAGGGGGCGAAAGGTAAACAGCATGGCGACAATGCCCACAAGCACAGAGAGTATCAATCTTATGTTGTGAGACATAGATGACATTCTCCAGGTGGAAAATTGATCAAAATTCGCATGTTGAAGACTTTCCCCTTTAAAGGCCTCTCATATTGATTTCATATTGATCTAGCCGGAGAGGGACTAGAACAGAACACTCAACCCGAAAGGGGTAGGACAGGGCGGTGTCACTCACTGCGTCCTCGTATACTGATTAAATAGTCACAAACTCGAAAGGACCGAACTTTCACATCATTTGAACGGGAAACGGGTATTGCGCAGAAGCGACGCTCTTCAGTACGAACGCCAACCATATCTTCTCTATTGTTAGACTTGAATGTCGGACCTTCGGCACTGTCCTGTTTTGCATCAACTTCCTATACGCACCGCCGAAGGAAGGCATGGAACCCTTGATCAGGATTCTCTTCGTATGCTGACCAAGCTTGAAAGCTGTAGTATCCATAACGAGCACGCATTTTGGCTCCGGCCACCTCCCACAGTGCTGCAGAAGCTGCTCGATAAATGATTCGAAGAACGTGGCATCAGTTGAACCATTGAAAATACGACACAGAATGATACCACTTTGAGCATATGCAGGGAGTATCTGGAAGCGTTGGCCGCGATAAAATTTCGACACTTGAACCGGTTGACACGCTGAGTAGTAACCAGCCAGTCCGCCTATACTCAATCTGTAAGACCCAAGCTAAAGGTTTTGCGCTGCTTTATCCACCGGGTAGAGCCTTTGATGGAACTATATTCGAATGTCCGTTGTGTTTTTTTTTCATGATAGATGCTACAGACAAGAAGTCCTGGATGCATCACCTCTCGCTCGATCTTATGCCCTACATTTGCGTTTTCAAGAATTGCCCTACAGCAGATCACCTCTATGGTGATAAAAATGAATGGCTGAGGCATCTACACGATAGCCATGGTTTTGGCCCAAAGAACCAATATTACCCTTTATGCCTAGAAGTCTTTTGTCGGGGGTACAACATTGAATTGCATCTCGCAAAACATCTGGAGAAACTCGCCGTCATGTCTATACCTTCTGCTAAACTAACTGATAACACAGATCTTCTGTGGACTCCTAGCGGCGGAAAGTCTACTCAGACTGCCAGGTCTGATGTTATTCCGTGCTCAAGATTCCATTCCCATCAGGTTGCTTTCGATTCAATACTCCGTTACCGTCATTCAATCGGCCTACTTTCGCATCGTTAGCTCGGACCGCCAATTCTGATGTCGTTGAATGTTCAAAGTTTGATCATGAATGCCATGATATAAGGGTGAGCTCTTACCTGCTCATGTGAAACTCATTTCTTATATTTCTCTTACACGTCCCTCTAGTGCTATCGGAAAGGGGTGAAAATGCGGGCAGATGCCATCAAAAGTCAGCCCTTATGTGCCAAATCAAATCGACACACGTCTTGCCCGCTATTTTCAAATGTCCAGATTGCAGCGAAAGGTTCAATCAAAAGGAAAATATGGAGGCGAGCATTATAGATCTAAGTGCAACAGACTCCGAGGATAGTTCATATGGAACTTTGCGAGGCGATGCTTTATGTTTCTTGGCCTGTGATGAAGATATGACAAATGGAGCACGAAAGACCTGTTAGCTTGGAGGAGACGATTAATACACCAGAAAAGGGAGATTCGATAGGGAGATTCCATCAGAAGGGTATCTCAAGGATACATGAGTGAGTAATGTCTCGCTAGATTCAGACACTTAAAGCACCACTGTACAAGGTACTCCATAAACGAATTCACGGCCCCCACTTAGCCCGGCCAGGCCTGGAGACTTCCGAATGCCGAAGTACGGAGTCAGACTCTAGCACAGGACCACCGCTAGCGAGAGAGCTAGAAAAGACTCTAATGCACGTTTAAAATAGTGGATGATCCTCTTACAGGGTGGATATAAGGTACATGCACTAATTACTGGGGTGGGAACGGGGGGAAAAGAGTATTTAATGACGAAGAGTGGGATTTGTTGGCGGCTACAGTTTAGGCTCGTGGGGAGGTGCTCAAGGATGGAGCTTTGAATTACGAGATATTTAGTTATCGAGTCTTCTTTCTTGCATTATCGAAAAGGATTTGTTTCATTGTCAGATTGTTTACTCATAGGTTCACGATCGTGTGTAAAATAGCGAGTGAGAATTCCTTTCGGATGCTGGGGAAAGCTTGCGGGCTGATATTGCCCGATGTACCGAAGGCCCGGTATCAGTCAGCACGCAGAACAGTTTGTACGACTGGTCTTGGCTGGATGAGATTCAAAATTTTGAATTTTTACATTTATTTGTGGATATCTTTTGGAGAATTAAGGTAGAAACCCTTTCTAAGGGTGTCTATCTATGTCCTCCGTTCTATTATGTGTAGTGATCAAGAGCTAAGGTGAGGCTACGATAAGGCCCGGACCCTCTTCCCAAGATAGCGGGCCCCCGGGGGCCGGGCCCACGGGAGCGGGATCGATGACTGTTGCTTGTTGTTTCAGACGGGCAAGAGTGGTGATTTCATCGTTTGTTTAAGAAGAGGAAGAAGTGTAACTTTGGGGATATTTCACATGTGATATATCGGTACCTTTTATGATTGAGAGTCTGATACACTCTTGGAAAGACCAGCGGGTCCCAGGCTTCCACGGATTTTCCTCCTCCATTCCCCCTGCACGTCAGAATATCCAAGCCCCGGGGAATAAAAAGTAAAAAGGAAAAAAACCCGAAATCATCGGTCGCATGCCGTGGCCAAAGTAAACGCCCGAACTCGGCCCCTCACCCCGAGACATCCCGAGCCGGAAGAAGTCGGACAATCCCTTGATGGCGAACTGCACTCTTATCTGGAGCCAATCATAATCCCTGGTTCGAGGCTGAGTCTATCTTCACGCTAGTCCACAACGGGTTACCTCCAGGGCCCCACTTGGCGGCCGGTGGCAAAGGTTTATCTGCAACCAATCAGAGACCAATGATAGGGTCGACGTTCGTCCAATTGCTGGCGGGGGATAGCGACCTCTTTTGCAACGCAAGACCAAATAGGTTGACGGAATATGATTTCCAATTGGCGATAAGCCCAAATAAAAAAGAGTCAATATTTGGGTACAGCATGAAACACTCTTTACTTGTACGGAGTGGAGATCTACAGTATGCACCCCGTATTCTGGACGGACAGTCATTCGCTTGGAGGGACTAACCCTGGCTTTTTGGGACGCGTTTTCCCTGGCCAGATGTCATCGGAGTTCCGAGAAATACGGTCAATTACAGGGGAGGAGGGAGGATACTGTCCAGTAGAGATAGGGTTCCCCCGTGAGAGCGCTCCTCTTGATCGTGATAGGAATAGATAGTACGATAGATGATGAAGAGTCCGGGGAAATAACGTGCAGCCCGCCTTGTTTCCTCGAGCATATATAGAACCCCTTGTAGTCCTGCAGAACCGGGGAGAGGGAGGGGGACCAGTGGGTGTGGGAAGAAGAGTACGATGACCGCATGTTCTGAAGTAGCTACTTTCTAGTAGTCTCTATTGCTCCAGGCTTGGCTCTCTCTTCTTCATCCCCCCCCCCCCCCCCCCCCCAGGACGTTTAATTTCCCCGGAGTTAGGTGCATTTGCATGACTTGCCGAGCTCAGGTCCCCGTTTGTCTCCTTGGCCGGTCACCGGAGAATCGATTGGGGGGGCGTTGTGATGAATATTCACTTGAACCCGTTCGATTATATTCTCCCCTTTGGTTACGTGCCAGCGCCAAAACTGCCTAGTATGTTTTTAACCATTCTAGCCCGGCTGTAAAAAGTGGGCAGAGCCAAGGCTCTCCATCGGGAGCGGGACCCATGGACGGAGGCAAATTTTGACTGGACCCGTTGCCACTGGGCATGATTGGGTTCTCTCTTCTGTCTCCATTGCTTCCTCTGGCGGCCACGGGAGCCGGAGACCTATCTCATGATGATGATGTGGTTGATGCAGGTGATGAACGGGAGAGAAGAGCAGAATGACATGATTTCTTTTTTTTTATTTCCATCGGCTGATTAGATTTTGAATAGAATGTCCAATTCCCATCTCGTATCTGTTCTGGTTGAAAAGTACCGTATAGATCTCCTCCAAGCCGGGTTATCCAAACCCCGTGATTGGGGATGCTAATCGGGAATTATCCCATTGCTGTTGTCATCCGCTCACCTCATCCGTCCTTTCTTTTTTTTTCCGACTGCCCTTTCTTTTCCCCGTTACCGCGCCTCCCTCTCGTCAATTAATTCTTGTGCAGCTGTTCCTCGGAGATTCGAATCGTCCGGTTTGATTCGAAGCCTAGCCGCGAGCTTTGATTACTCTTACCCTTTTTTTTTTTTCCCCTCCAGTGTTATCGGCTGCCGAATTGCTTTTTTAGCTCGTGTCGCAGGCTACGGGCAGGTGGTCCGATTCAGGCCCAAGTGGACCCTCGTCGAGCCGGGGCGTGTCCACTGTCGATCCGAACTCATCCCAACTCTCGTCAGGACTAACCTTCAAAACGGGGCTGAACGCCCTCCGCAAAAAATTAATACTGGCCCTTCCAGAATCTCCCGGCTTTATAATATCCATCCTGCCCCTCGTGGCAATTCTTTCTGTTCCTCCCCCCTTCTTACTCCACACCTCCGCTCCGATCTCTCTTGGGAATCTCCAATTCCCAATTCCAATTCCTTTCTATCTCCCTCCCTCTTCCACTCCGACAATCCCACCCTTCAGTCGACATTTCCACATACTTTGACCTGCTCGGTAAACGATACGCTTCATTCTCGTGCTACGCGTCTCGGCCTCGACCGCTCCGAAATAGCAGGTTACACCTGCTCGATCAACCCCGTCACACGAGCTCGTTCGAGCTCTCCCAGCGGCGCCCACCATGTCGTCGTTCAACGGGAAAGCCCCATACGCACCCGACTATGCCTCCTACAACTGGGTTGGCGCGCCCGCCAACTATGAGCTGACTACCAATGCTGACCTGGGCGGCGATTCCCGTACGTTGCCCTTGTCTCCAAATCCATTCATTCTCCCAGTGGCAACCATCACACCAATCTAGCCATCAAAGTCAAGCAAAAGCACATTGGGGCAGCATAACTCACCATGTCCTTTCTTCATACAGGCACCGAAAATCTGAACAAATGGTTCCAATCCGGCGATCAAGCCTACATTATCGTGGCTTCTGCCATGGTTCTAGTCATGATTCCGGGACTGGGCTTCTTGTACTCGGGCTTGGCCCGACGCAAGTCCGCTCTGAGCATGATCTGGGCTTGTATGGCCTCCATGTCCGTTATCACTTTCCAATGGTACTTCTGGGGCTATTCGCTCGCCTTCTCTACCTCGGCGACCAACGGATTTATCGGCAATATGCGCAACTTTGGTCTTATGAAGACTCTCGCCGATCCTAGCCCTGGATCACCATTGATTCCCGGCTTGCTCTTTGCATTCTACGAGGTAGGGGGGAAAAAAGACCCATCTTTGAGCAATCGGCCGCGCTCCGGGAAAGTGATTGTTGACTGACATTTTCTTCCCCCTTCAGATGCAATTCTGTGCTGTGACTGCAGCCATCGTCATGGGCGCCGTCGCTGAGCGCGGTCGCCTCCTTCCCGCCATGGTCTTCACCTTCCTGTGGGCGACAATCGTCTACTGCCCTCTCGCCTGCTGGGCCTGGAACAGCAACGGCTGGGCCTTCAAGTACGGTGTCATGGACTACGCCGGTGGTGGTCCCGTCGAAATCTGTTCCGGTTTCACCGCACTCGCATATAGCATGGTCCTCGGCCGCCGCCAGGAGCGCATGATGCTTAACTTCCGCCCTCACAACGTCTCTCTGATCCTTCTCGGTACCGTCTTCCTCTGGTTCGGCTGGCTCGGATTCAACGGTGGCTCGGCCTTTGGTGCCAATCTACGTGCTACCATGGCCTCCTGGAACACTAACCTCACTGCTGCGTTCGGTGCTATTACCTGGGTGCTGCTTGACTGGCGGTTGGCTCGTAAGTGGTCCATGGTCGGCTGGTGTTCCGGCACGATCTCCGGACTTGTCGCTGCGACCCCCGCATCTGGTTTCATCACTCCCTGGGCTAGTGTGATCCTTGGAATTGTCACCGGCATCGTTTGCAATTACTCGACCAAGATCAAGTACTGGATCCGCATTGACGATAGCATGGATGTGTTGGCTGAGCACGGTATCGCTGGTATTATTGGCCTCCTTTTCAATGCCTTCTTTGGTGACGACTCCATTGTCGGCCTGGACGGTGTCAACACCGGCACCGGTGTCGGTGGCTGGGTCATCCACAACTGGAAGCAGCTGTACATTCAAATCGCCTACATTGTGGCAACTGCCGCCTACTCCTTCGTCGTCTCCGCCATTATCGCCTACGCCATCAACGCCATTCCCGGCCTGAACCTGCGTGCCTCCGAAGAGGCCGAGCTTCTCGGCATGGACGATGACCAGCTTGGCGAGTTCGCCTACGATTACGTTGAGGTCCGTCGTGACTACCTAGCCTGGACCCCGCAGAAGCACGACCAGCTGGAGGACGGTCACGAGATCCCCGCCGCTGATCGGTACGGTATTGGAGAGCACTCGGAGATGATGCTGGAGGGACAGGCTCCGAACGGCGAAATCAGCCAGAGCTCGCGCGGCGGGAGTGAGGGCGACATGCACTTGCAGGAAGTGAAGATTGCACCTGCCCCGAGACAGGTCGCCGAGATGACGAGTCCGCACACTCATGCTCCTCCTCCCTCGCAAACGCCCGTCGTCTTGAATCGTGTCGATGAAAAGTCCGATTAAGCACTGCGCTTGCATCTCGGCTTTTTTTGCTTCTCCACATTCAACCCATTGCATTTTCCACCTCGGTCTCCCCCTTCTCATCCATCTCGCCCTTGATTTGTTCTTTCGCATTGTTCGATATCCCTCTGAGCGTGTTTCTTTTCTGGCACGAAAGGCCTGGGGCTTTTCTTTTTTCCTCCATCAAACCTCTTTCTCAACATTTCCACCTGTATGACCTATCCTACTCTATATCCCGTCTACATACCCTCCATCGCCACAAATTCTACCAACAAACCTCCATCTATCCACTATACCTCCCCCCTACTCCCTCGACCTCAATCCTACAAATTTGTTCTCTCCAGCAAAAGCAACCCCCGCTCCATGGCTGGTTTGGCGTTCCTCTTTCCACATTTATCCGTTTGTTCAAGCATTGTTTTTTTTTCCTTAGTTCGGGCGCCGACGGTGGTATATATCCGGTTTTCAGAGTTTGATTCCGACTTCTGAAAGTTGGCTTCCTTGGTTGTGTTTTTTTTCTGCGTGCCGAGTTTGGCGGGTGGTGATGTGATATCCTGTTACCTGCAGTATAGAGAACTGATATTAGACTATTTTTTTCTGGTGATTATCTTCTTTCGTAATCTGTCTTTTTTAGTCGTATCCGGACTTTAATATACTTGGATCCAGTCTCAGATGGCACGGATTACTGGTAGGAGGTTGACAGTTAGCTTGAATATCCAGTGATAACACTGGAAACTCTTGGGACGTTTTCCTGTAGATCAAAAGTAGTTTCTTGTGGTACCTGATCATTATCAGTCTTTCATGCTATAGACTTGTAGATAGACAAATCATGGGTTGGCGTGGTCAGGGCTGGCGCCACCTTCTCGGGCTTCTTCGAAGTATAATCGGCACTCATAATTGCCTTGTAAACAAGCTAAGCACCACTGAAAACCTTGGATCAATACCACCGGTCCTACCAGATTAGCCTATCTTATTGGATAAACCCTGAAGCATTCGCGTCGATCCCGAAGACGATGTCCAGCAAAAGGGCCCGTACTGTGTGAAAAATCATGTCCAGATACCAGACCCAAAAGTCTTCAAATCACATAATATATACGTACAATGCCATGCAAACGCAAACGCAATGCTCAAACCCATCTGCAACCCAGCCAACCTATGCTCTCCTAACCATCCCCCGAACTCTAACCCTCTCCTCCCGACTCAATTTATCCACGACCTCGCCAGCCTCCCCGCCCCTCAGAACTTCATCCCACTCATCCTCGTCCATCCCCATCACGAGCGTCATCTGCACACACCTCGTAAACGCTTCACGGTGTCTATACCGACCCGGTGCCCCCGCGCCGGCCCCATACCCCACGTCCGCGGCCGCATTGACAATACCCGCGACGTCGCGCTCGAGACGGGACGCGCCCAGCGCGTTGATACGGCCCTGGTACGACCAGAGGCGCTTTTCGAGCAGGCGCGCGAAGTAGGCCACCGTCACGGTGAGGAGACGGTCGAAGGCGGGTGCGGTGAGGATCCGGGCTAGTGGGAGGAGGAGCTCGGTCCAGCCAGCGGCGAAGCGCGGGCGGACGAGTTCCTTGCTGCCGTCTGCGGCGTCGTAGTCGTCGTGTGGTGTCGGGTCTGAGGTGTCGGAGGGGTGGTACTCGATATCGCGGAAGGCGTCGGCGAGGAGCGGGCGCAGACGGTGTTTGACCACGTTGTTGAAGACGACTTGGATGCCGTCGGAGAGGAGGTCGGCGACCTTGGCTTCGAAGGAAGTTGCTAGGGAGTGCAGGGTTTGGGCAACGCGGAGCGCGGAGGATGGTGCCGGGAAGAGTGAGCTCAGGTGCTCCGTGACCAGAGTTGAGCGGTCGGGTGTGCTGTCCGTGGATGGCAGAGGTTGTTTGGAGCCGGTGTTGTTTTGCACGATTCGTCGGATATAGTCGACGCCGAGATCGAGGTTGTTGATCTGGACGAGGAAGGCGACGATGGTTTGTTCCGCGGGTTGGGCGCCTTGGACGGGTGCGCGTGGGTAGCACTCGTCTCGCATCTTGCGCTGTGTCATGCCAATAAAGTCGGAGCCGAGGACGCGGGAGAGCGTTGGGACGACGTTGGTAACGACGGCTTCTTGGGAGGTTGCGAGAGACTGTTGCAGTACTTTGTTGACAATATACATGATGTCGTCCACGGCCGAGGTGATATGAGGCGGGTCTGCCTTGAGAGGGCGCTGGAGGTTCAGTGTCAGCCCGGACGGCGATTCGTCGAGTTGGAACGCCTTTTCGACAGAGCGGCGGAAGAAAAAGGTGGTCATGGCGTTGAATGGAGAGACGAGCTTGTCGTTGACCTTGCGTGCCAGAGAAGACTCTTGCAGGAAACCCGGCAGTGCGAATCTTTGGTTATCGTCTTGCTCGGTTTGATCGTCCCCCGGGGCCTGTGATGTCAGTAAATTCCATGCGTATAAATCGCGGCCAATCGCACTCACATTGCATGTATCCGCCAAGAATCGACAGTAGAGAGACCACCGGCCTAGCATAATGGCCATCTCGTTCAAAATACCGTCAATCTCCTTCATATCAACTCCTTCGTCCTCAGTCGGCGCAGCTGCCCCTGCAGCGGGCGCATGACCGGCCCTCTGTGCCGGAAGGAAGCTCTGCACTAAGAAGGTAAATGCATATGACTTGATATCCATCAGCTTGCGATCTACATGTCGTTCATCACTCCAGGTGTCGAGGATAATGCCACCCTGCACATCCGCTTCAACCTGCAGTCGCTCAATAACTCGACCCATCTTCCGAGGACCATAGTGACGCTCCACCAGCCCACCATGCCCATCAATAATCTGGGCTATATGCTCAAAGAGCTTGGTCAATGCATTTGCGTAGAAGAAGCCATCCTTGGCCTGTGACCCGTAATCGGCATTGAGATTGGCGCGTGCGCGCGCCGCAACGCCCTGGCAGACGTAGCGACCATAGACATCCAGGCCAACCTCGGAGCGGCCGATGAGCGGGAACAGCTTGAAGAAGCGGGTGATTTTCGCCCCGTCATTCTCCTTGACGGCCTTGTCGAATTCGCGGAGGAAGAGTCCACACAGCGATTCCGCCGCATTGTCCAGAGTCACGCTGGGCGGGTCGGGCACCTCCGCAGTAGGGACCATTTCCGCAGCAAAGGCCCCATTGACGACTGACGCCGGAACCTGTGCTGCACGGTGTAGATAGCTAGCAGCCGTCTCCCAATCCTGGGAGGCACCCATAGACCCTGCCACACCCAATGCACACGCCTTGAGCTCGGCGACCTGCTCTACCACCTCCAGTGTAGCCTTGACCCTCGCCTGCTCCAGATCCAGTCGTCGCACGGCGCTGGAGATACGCTCGGCAGTACTTGCGGCTTCAGAGAGCATGCCATGGCTGATCGATCGGGTGGTGCTCGTCTGGGTTCCGATGTGCGCGCGCATCAAATCCAGTCGGCCCAATTCCCGAGACAGATCCTTTTGCGACGTCACTAGCGCATCTAGTCGGGCTGTCACGGACGCTTCTTGGCTATGTAGACGGGATAGCGCGGCTTTGATCTCCGCCACGGAGCTGGCATTGAAGACATCGGTTCGCGGGGAGTCGATTGCGGGGCTCAATTGATCCGATGATGTAGATGGTGATGGCGACAAAGTATGGCCGTTGGCTTGGCTGGGCGGTTGTGAGACCGCCATCCTGGAACACAAAGGTGGCCTTGTGTTGTCGCAACCAGGAGGCTTTGCGGAGGTGGTTTATTGATGCCAACTACGCCTTTGGAAGACAGCCCCGTGGGGGCGGTGAGGCTCGGGCCTTTTTTTTCTTCGGGGCGGAGGGCTTGAAAGAGCAAGACAGGCGCATTTTTTTTTGATAGAAAGGATATTCGATCCATTGCCCAAGAATTATCTCCCGTTCCTTTGAGACTAGGCTGGCATACTTTCAATCGTTGATGTCAACCTGAATTGTTTTGGTCTGCTTTTAAATTGCCCGCTGATTCCAACTCCACGTCATTTTCCCCCACGATCACTCTACTACTTCTACACTTAATTCAGCGTTTCGCGCTACATTGTCTCTGAATTTCTGTACTTTGCACTTGTCGCAACGAAGACCACTGGTGTGTCGCCAAGATTGGACGCCGTCGCAGACCTCGTCACCAAACCCATCCCCGGCGCTCTCGTGCGATGGGCAACGAAGAGTCGACTATGGTGGATGATTCCACCCGCCCCTCAGTGTTGGAGGGGCGCAATCTGGAGGCGATAGCCAAGTATATCAAAGAGCATGATGTGAAACGTATAGTTGTTATGGTTTGTCTACAATCCCCGGCCTCACATTCCAGACATGCATTGCTGACTCCGGATCACAGGTTGGAGCAGGCATCAGTACTTCGGCAGGCATTCCGGATTTCCGTTCACCGGATACTGGGCTCTACGCCAATTTAGCATTCCTCGACTTGGAAGAGCCAGAGGACGTATTCGATATTACTTTCTTCCGAGATAACCCCAAGCCGTTCTACGCGCTGGCGCATGAGCTCTACCCCGGGCGCTATCGCCCCACCGTCGCCCATTCCTTCATCAAGCTGCTCTACGATAAGGGACTACTGCTGAAGCATTTCACTCAGAATATCGACTGTCTTGAGCGCCAGGCCGGGTTACCTGGTGACATGATTGTCGAGGCCCATGGCAGTTTTGCCACACAGCGCTGTATTGAGTGCAAGACGCCATATCCCGACGAGGAGATGCAAAAGACGATCCAGGATAGGGAGGTTCCACACTGCATAGTACCGCAATGCAACGGTCTCGTCAAGCCGGACATTGTCTTCTTTGGAGAGGCCTTGCCTCCGAGCTTCTTCGAGAGCCGTGACCTACCAGAACAGGCCGACCTGTGTCTCGTGATGGGTACCAGTCTCTCGGTCCAGCCTTTTGCCAGTCTGCCCGGATTTTGCAGACGGGGTGTTCCGCGGGTGCTGATCAACATGCAGCGAGTCGGGGGGCTCGGGTCTCGTCCGGACGATGTCCTCATCCTGGGAGACTGCGATGCAGGAGTGCGCAAGTTTGCAAAGGCCATGGGATGGGAGGAAGAGCTAGAGACTCTTTGGGAAGAGACTAATCCCGACCCCAAGGCGCGCGAAGCCGAGAACGAGCCGGTGCCATCCCGGGACGAGCGGCTCCGACAGGAAGTTGACCGGCTTACGGAGGACATTGAGCGTACACTAAATATAACGGATGCGTATCAGCAGCGCGTGCGAGAGAAATTGGGCGAGTCGGGCGGATCTGCTGCGATAAAAGCGGGCTCGAAAGAAGAAGAACGGTCGGAAGAAGGATTGGATCATGTGTTCCCGCACTTGGCGCGCAAATCACGTTAGACCAAGGAGACTGGACCCGGTGAAACGGGTTCATTGAGATAGATCACAGACAAGTGACGCCGCGATGGATCACGAGGCAATATCGATTTGACTAGAATAGTATGATGGGACGATCAATCCAACAAGGCTCACCGCTCAACGCCAAGCGCGGAGCGCTCTGGCCCTGTTTGAGTTCTGAGTTCACCTTGACGTCTGCGTTCGAGTGTCATCGAAAGAACTAGCCAAGTTACTAGCTCCGTACTTGTAATGTCGATCGT